GGGTGTATATATTTGTACACATGCCATGCGCACATGTGGAGTAGGTTCTTTTCCTTTAACCATGGTGATTTAGGAAGTTGAACTTCGTCAGGCTTAGTGGCAACTTGCTGCTGAGCTGTCTTTCAGTCCCCAATTGGGAGATGCTTGTTTTGAGACATTATTTCTCTTTCTAGCCCCAACTCTCCTGGAACTCAACTCTGTAGACCAGGCTAGCCTCGAACTCAGGGATCCACTTTTTTCTACCTTGAGTGCTAGGGTTAAAGGCATGTGCAACTGCACCTAGATAGTTGAAATTTTTAGTTACTGCTTAAATATCACTGCCTTGTGATAGATATGTTCAAATTGTTTCTCATCTTGATTTGGTAGACCAGTTGTCTAGAAATTCAAAATTTCTTTTCTTTTTTTAGGTAAGACCTAAAAAAAAGTTTTCTGAATTTCATTGGTATGCACTGTAATGCATTTGTTTTCATTTCTAATTTTATTAATTTGGATCTTCTCTTTCCTTTAGTTAGCTTGGCTAAGTGTTTGCCTGTTTTGTTTTTCTTTTCATAGAGTCAGCTCTTCGGCTGATTGTATTGTTGTTTTGTTTCTGTTTCATTAGTTTAGTCTCTGATCTTCACCATCTTTCCACTTGCTGACTTGTTGCTTTCCAGAGTGCGTGCATCATTGAGAGAATTCTCTACTTGTTAATACAGGAGTTAAAAACTTCCCTCCTAATGCTGCCTTAATCATAACACACGGCTTTGGATAGGTTAATGTTTTCATTTTTAGTTGACCCTAGAAGTGGTTTTCTTTCCTTCTTCATTTCTTAAGAATTGTACTCATCCTTCAGTGTGCTGTTTAATCTCCATGAGGTTGTGTATGCTCAAGTGTTCTTGCTGCTAACTTTGTGTCTCCACTATGATCAAATGGAATGCAATGAATTGTTTGTCTTCCTGTGTTTAAGACTTGCATGCTGGGCGTGGTAGTGCCCACCTTTAATCCCAGCACTCAGGAGGCAGAGGCAGCAGGTAGATCTCTTTCACTGTCCACTTGATGGATTGTCCCCTTAGTCAGTGTGAAGTGGCCTTTACATACCCCCCCCCCAAGTGATTGGAACACTTTTTTTCTGTTCTTGCAGCCTAAATTAATCTTTGGTTGTGAGTTATATTTCTTGGGGTCAGCAAATTGATGGCGCCTGCTTTTTTGATCCAATCATAATCTGTGACTTTTGAATGGAGGATTGATCATTGATATTTAGAGTAGTTATTAAAAATATGTATTGGCTTCTGCTATTCTGTTGCTTTTTGTAATGTTTGGTGTTTGGTTTCCTTTGTCTTTTTAAAAGTACTACTCTAGGGTGATTTATTCTTCCTGTGGCCTTGTAGATGAGTTTGCTTTTCTCTTCCTTTTTTTTGTTTTTGTTTTTGTTTTTGTTTTTGAGACAGGGTTTCTCTGTGTAGCCCTGGCTGTCCTGGGTGCTTTTCTCTTGCTTAGGTATTTTCTTTAAAGCTGCTGTCTTCCTGGCCATACATTGCTTTTTAGTCTTTTGTTGGTTTTGTTTTGAGACAGAGTTGTAGACCAGGCTGGCCTCTATCCGCCTGCCTCGGCCTCCGCTTCTGGAGTCCTGGGATGAAAGGTGTGTGCCACCACTGCCTAGCTTATTTAGTCCATTTTAATCATGGAAACTTTTTTTGTTCTACCATTATAAGAGATTGCTTTGCTGGACGTAGTAGTCGTGATTGGCATTCATAATTTTTCTGAATTGAGATCTTCTGGCTTTGCAAGTTTCAGTTTTGCGGTAGATGGACTTATCTCCATATGTGAGTTAGTTTTCATTCTTGTTGTTTTGAGATTACTTTCTTTGTTTTGTGTATTTGCTGTTTAAATTACATTTTGATGGGGGTGTTTCCTTTCTGGTTGTCTCTCTGCGTCCGGAATGCCTCCCTCCTGTACCTGGACTGTCAATCCATTTCTTCCTAACTGGCCATGTGGTTATTCACAGTTAAATTTATTAAAGAAGAGATAAGCCCACTGTAGTCATGGTGGTGAAATAAAGAGCAAATAACGTAGGACAGCTAGGTTTGCAGCAATGCTGCTGTTCTTCCCAAGGCCTCCACCTGCGATTCTAGTACTACACCCGCCATTCTAATGGGATGCACTCTTAGAAGTGCTGACTGACATATGTAAGGGGTAAAAATGGATGGGGCTTGGACTTTTCAGTAGTGCAGTTCATGAACATAACAAACAGACCCATTCTAAAAACTGAGAAGTGAGTGACTGAACAGAGAAGTGAGCTGTTTGCCCCACCCACTGTGGTGCACACCTGCATTCCATGTTAGCCCTGTCCATTGTGGTGCACACCTGTATTCCGTGTTAGCTCTGTCCATTGTGGTGCACACCTACATTCCAGCACAGGCAGGATGCTGTGGGAGAAGCACAGGTTTGAGGCAATCCTGGTTTATAAAGCAAAACTATGGAGTGAATGAATGAGTTGAGTGAATGAATTCCCCTTTGATTATAGTATTTTAGGTGTTCAGTTTGTGGCCAGTGGTTAACCTCTGGCGGGTAGAAAGCAGCTTTTTGACACTATTGACCTAGAATTATGGTGTGCTCACCTTTTTGTGATAGGCCCTGGCGGCCTTCCAGTGGATCTGCACAGTAGGTCAGAATCCAAGCTTGCCTCTTCCCATGAGTGGCTTTTTTGTGTCTCCTTGTCCCTGTGCAGTGTAGCTCTGCCTTACGTACTCATCTGTCAGGCTTGTTGAGACAGTCATCTGTGTTGGGGGTTCTCTTCTGTTGTTGCTTTATTGGAAATGTGTGGTTTGGGTTTTGTACTGTTTTGGGTGAATATAAATATATCTTGGAACTTCTTGGAAGCTGTTTCTGTGTTGCTAGCTATGCATTCTGCTAAGTCTTTTCTGTTCCAAGTGCTGTTCCTGAGGCAGAAATTGAAGGCTTGCGTATTCCAGACACTAATACAGGTGTTGAGGATAAGCCACTTGTAAATTTGTTAGGCAAAATTTCACACATAGAACACATGATAAAGAAAATAGATTTTTGTGGTGATCAAAAACCAAAAAAGGAAAGTAGGGATGTTAAAAGGCCAAGCAAGAAAACTCAAGCACAGAACATGTTAGAATGCATCATAATTCTCTGTGGTGTAGGAGAACTATTTTATTTCATTTTTTGTTTTAAGCGAATCCCAGAAAGTTACCTTCTGATGTTGATGTGTGTTGAAGGTAAGACACACATCTTTTTCTTCATACTTGTCACTGTCGTGGGTCTATTAGAGAGTAGAGCAGCCATGGTTGCATAGGTTCTTCTGTTGGAGGAAAAGCCCAGGGCTGGCTGCAAGCTCACCTCTCCATCTATTTATTCTATTACTTTGTCTTGGGAGTGAGTTTCTCTTCTGTAGTGTAGTGATGTGTGGCTTCCTTTAACCTCAAGATAACAATTTTCTCACGGAAATTTTTTCCTTGAGGAAAACGGTGTTTCTTGTAGTCTATAGCTGCCGGACTTCTTTTTGTTGTTTGTTTGTTTTAGATTTTTGTAATAGATTGAAATCAGGTGTGGACCTTGTGTGAGATTCTTGAGGAATCATTACGATATTCTGATTCTGTTTCTGAAAATTTTGTTTTCATAGGTTTATGGTTTTCAAGAAATAATTCAGTTTGTAGCTTCTTACTGCTGCACACTGGATACTTACTGGGTACTTGAAGTGTATACTTTTGACATATGGGATTCTGTTCCCATGTACTGTATGCCATTGTTTAAATATATTTAAAAAACTAAAACAGTATTCACAATAATAACTCAATTGTACTTTCATTTATTTCATATGAGGCTGTTTGGGGTAAATTCAGGTGTTAAGATTGAAAGCATTTGGTATATGAGTGTGGCACACCAACACATCCCAAGGTTGGATATGTTCTTGGTACATTTTGAAGACTTGAGTTCACAGTTTTGACCAGCCCATTCACTAATGATTGATGTATGAATGAACAGTCCTGACTGCACTGTTAGAAGAAACAAACCAAAAGCATGTGTTTCCAAGATAATTTAACAAGCTTCTTCTAATGTGGATGGGACGATGGCTATTTTGCTAGCTATAAACATTTCACTTAATTTGGTTTTCATTAAAGTGATTGCTTAGCCATACAGTTGTATTTTCATTCAATCTACTTTTCTAAAGATTTTCTAAAGGTAGTAAGTTTTGTTTTATTTTCTTATGAAAGTGTTTCCAATTGTGATAGGTCACAAGATGAAATTGTGTGATTATAATTTTTACTTTTGCTAGGCTACCAGTGTTAACTGAAGCACTTCACAAGTAGTGTTTATATCAAATCCCTTCAATTGAGCAAGTATATATCAGCAGACTGGCACTAAGTGAACCAAGCATCAGTGTGTAAAGTTCCTGTGATCAGAAAGAACTCAGGAGAATAAGTCATGAAGCAGAGGTTCAGGCAGGCATCGCCAGGGTTCTGTTAACATTCTTAATTGGCAGCAAAGTTATCCGTAGCAGGGATGACATGGTTTATTGGATTTATAAAAGCATCTTTCTTAAGGGCTTTTCAGTAGTGAAATACAGAAAGGAGGCTTCAGAAAGAACAAGAAGATCAAGCATCACATTAGATAACAGCAGACAAAATTGTGCTCCAGCCACCTGTTTCTGAGCAATGTCTTCCTAATTTTACATTTTAGATGGTATCTATTACTGTGGGTGTTCAGTTTTCTTCTTTAACAGTATGACCATGCTATTTAATATACAAGTTAATCAAATTAGTCTGTATTTGGTCTACTGTTTCCCTATTAAATAAAGCTCACTTAAGTGTTTCCTTCTTACTCTTTATAAAGCTTTCTTTCTCCTTTAAGGCCTTTAAATACAGAAAACAGTACAGTAGCATATATGATAGATAGAGCTGCCTAGTTGGGGTATCTACAATTGTCAGAGTCTGTTGGAGTTGATTATGGTTTGATATATTTCTCAACATAGTCCGAATATTTTTTTTCTGTTGTAGAACAAAATCCAGTCTCATAGCAGAGGAGAATACAATGTTTACAGCACCTTCCAGAGCCATGAGCCAGAATTTGACTACTTGAAAAGCTTAGAAATAGAAGAGAAGATCAACAAAATTAGGTGGTTACCCCAGAAAAATGCTGCCCAGTTTTTATTGTCTACCAACGGTAAGTGTGCGTCTTTAGTTTTCAGGCATCACATTGGGCACGTGTCCTGTAGAGGATACAGGCCCTTCCCTGTACAGAATGTAAAGTCTACTACTTTTGCTTTTTTTATTGTTAACTTGTAAATTTCAAATTTATAGGTATTAATTTTTATTTAGGCTGGTTTTATTTCTGTCTCCTTTGGATGGTCCTGAATACTGAGTTGAATAGTCCTTACCAACAGACACAGCCAGCAGTGTCTGTGGTACAGCACTGTTGTGAATGTATATTAACGTGTTAACTTGGCAGGTAGAGCCAATGCTCAGAAAATGTTTATTTCCTTTCCAAACTCTACAGAAGATGATTTCTGTGCCAGGATGATTTCTAGAGTACCCTTCTTCCTTGACTTTTGCTGGTTTATCACTTTCTTCTCTATAAGCCACATGGGTGGAAGAAGGTTCTTCTCGTTAGCTGTACTTGTGTAAGGAAAGGTGTTAGAGAAGGATTAGAGCTGTGTGAGACGTTGGCCAAATTTTGAAGTTCTGCATGACAAATTAAGAGTTGAATAAGGCCGGGTGGTGGTGGCGCACGCCTTTAATCCCAGCACTTGGGAGGCAGGGGCAGGCGTATTTCTGAGTTCGAGGCCAGCCTGGTCTACAGAGTGAGTTCCAGGACAAACAGGACTACACAGAGAAACCCTGTCTCGAAAAACCAAAAAAAAAAAAAAAAAAAAAAGAGTTGAGTTTGTTTGTTTGTTTGTATGTATGTATGTATAAAATATGACTTGGCTTATTATCAGGACCTTGAAACTGAAGAGATGGAGGCGATAGATACTTAAGAGATCTGGGTGTAATGGTCTATTAAAACTTTAAGGCTGACAGATGTTAGCAGAAATCTCACATTTTCTCATCTTAACTATTAATAGAAGCAAACCTTAGCACTTATATCTTTATATTTGCAGAGTGTGTAGACTCATGACTACTTAGGGTAACACAGTAGGATATTTAGAGTCCCCTTTCTGCGCTCTTTGTACCCTGTGGATTACTGTATTTATGGAAATGCAGTGCATAAAACGTTGCCACTTCTGATCATGCCTCCTTGGAGACCCATTTTCTCTCAATTAAATTTTTTTACCCTCTGCCTTCCTCTCTTTTTACATAAGTAATATTTTCTTTGTGTTTACGAGGCAAGGGAGGCAGTGAGACAGTCTTGCATTGTAGCTCAGGCTAGCTTTGAAGTCTTGATATCCTACTTCTGCCTCCCAAATATGGGCATGCCCACTGTATCCCATCTCTTCCCAAAAGAAAGTAACATAACCAGGCTGCAACATGTCGTCACATCCTTGGTAGAAGCACCAGATGTTAGCTTCTAGTCTTGCTTCCATTTTGACTTATGTGGTAAGCTGAGGTACTTCAAGTAACACTTAGACACTTTTTTTTGTATCAAGTAATACATGATTATACTATTTTTGCTTTTGTTTTTTTAACTTTTAGAAACAAATATCCCTGGGAAGTGTGTTGTACATTATAGAGTTTGTGGCTTGGAATGCTTATATTCACAGTCAAAGGCCTTATACATTGCAAGCTAGAAAAGTACTCTACTGCTGACCTCTGTCTCCAGAGGTAGCTCTTCTCTTCCAACCCTTCCCCCGCTCCTTTTTTTGAGACAGAGACTCACTAAGTAGCCCAGGCTTACCTGGAACTTTCAAAGCTCTGTTTCCCTCTGTTTCCTGAATATTGAGATTAAAGACATGCAGCATTATACTCAGTTACCTACCTTCCTTTTTCCCTCCCTCCTTCCCTCTCTCCTTCTCTCCCTTCCTCCTCCCCCTCCCTTTGACATAGATTCATAGTTTCATGTGCTAGTCTTGAACTATTTCCTAACTCAAGAAAATTTGAATTTGAACTTGAGATCTTTCTGCTTTAGCTTTCCCAGGTTGGAATGACAAACTTGCGCCACAAGGCCTACTTAGTGTCAGTTCATTTCATATTTTTACTTTTTCTAAAGGGGAAAGTTCAAGTACAGGCTTTCAAGAGTTTAACTAGAAACAGTAGTGAATGATGAGGCCCAGTGCATGCTCAAGTCCCGCCTCCCTTCTCACTGCAGAGCATTGGCATTCATTTGTGTATGTCCAAATGCAGTTTCCATAGACACTGTATGGTCTTCTAGCAAAAGTGTCATTAAGTAAGCATTCCTTTATTTGGTTTTGAGATTGAGATCATAGGAGTGTGTCACCATGCCCAACTCTGATGAACCTTACTTTAGCACTAAGGACTTAGAGGCTGTTTTGGGGTGAGGCTACTAGGAGTTCCTATGGCTGGGTCAGGAGGTCAGTGTTCTATATCTGTAGTCAGTGGGCAGTATCTCTAAACACACTGGGCCCCTACATTTGAAAATACTAAATAGTGTTAGAAGTTATTTAAGACCCTTGTTTTAGTCACTATTCTGTTGCTGTGAAGAAACATCAAGACCAAACCAATTCTTATAAAAAGAAAGCATTTAATTGGGGCTGCCTTACAGTTTTAGAGGTAGGTGGGTTTTTTTTGGTTTTTTGTTTTTGTTCTTTTTGTTTTTTGTTTGTTTGTTTGTTTGTTTGTTTGTTTTTGCTTTAGAAGGCTTTTGTTGGTGTTGTTTTTGTTTTTCTCTGTAACTATAAGGAAACAAACTAATTTCATACCATCTGAAAGTTTGGTACATTATAGTTTCTTATCTGGACTATTTATAAGATTGATGCATTTTCATAGGCTGAAGATATTGGGGGGGATTTGTTATCTGCATCTTCAGAAGTAGATTTTTAATCGATGTTTATGTCTTTTGAAGTTAAGAAAAAGTATGTATCTGGCTTATATGTGTGCATCTATTATTCAACCATCTGTCTGTAAGCCTAGTAGTACACAGGAAACAGAACTTTATTGCAGGAGAATCACAAATAAGATCTAGATGAGAGCTTAGGGGTAGAATGTAAGTTACTGAAGCCAGAGTTTGTGTTTGCATTTGATCTTGTATCAAGTGTTGTAAGCAGGCAATAGAAATGGCTGCACTGGTGTCTCCCTATAGCAATTGTCTTGTACCACTTTTAAAATGGCTTCCAGGCTATTTTTAAACTATGGTATTCAATCTTGCTTATGTAAGATCATTCAAAATGTCTTAGTTTTATATAAAAATATCATTTTAGAAGTATAACTACGTAAAATCATACATGAGTTCATAGTAAACAATTATATAAACAATACAAGGATAGATTTTTTTTTTTTTTTTCGAGACAGGGTTTCTCTTGTGTAGCCCTGGCTGTCCTGGAACTCAAACTGTAGACCAAGCTGGCCTCAAACTCAGAAATCCACCTGCCTCTGCCTCTGCCTCCCAAGTGCTGGGATTAAAGGTGTGTGCCACCACCTCCCGGCCAAGAATAGATTTTACTTCCAAAGAATCAAGTGAGTAGGTGTGCAAAGTGTGTGGTAGAGAAGCCTGACAACACTAGCTACCAACCACCAATTATGTTGACAGAGTCTGTACCCTTGTATGATGAGCTTGGAGGTCACTTCACCATTATGTTCTTCTAAAAACCCAATGAAGGACATTCATTGAAAGGCCACAGCCCTACTGATCACAGCTGCCCATATAAAGACAAATTATCCAAGTCCGAGAGGCAGATTTAAAGACTAAGGAGGCTTAATGGCAAAATGCTCTGGTGTTTGGATCCTGGGACAGAAAAAGGGTGTTAGTGGGAAACGTATTCAAATCTCAGGGACACCTTAGTTTCACTAGTATTACACATAGTTTTGACAAGCGTTGCCATTGTTGCATAAGATGTTGACATTAGAGACTGGGTAAAATGTATATGAGAATACATCTATTTGAAACTAATAATAAGTCTGAACATAATTCCAAGGTGATGTGTGTGTGTGCATACATATTATAGTATACTATTGTATGCATCCTTCAATTACAGTGATTTTGTCTTGAAAGAGTTGAAGATTTGCTTTTAGTCACTGTTTTCAGGCCCCTGTTTTATATTTAGGGAATCCCTGGTCAAAGAGGAGAAAAAGCAAGGAGACTGGTCTTCCATAAGATATGCTGAGATAAGATCCTAGGAGCTAGGTCTTGCCACTTGATTGAGCTCAGTAGTAGGCAGTGCTGAGTCCATTGCTTATTTTCTACCTTAATATTAAATACTGGACAAGTTTGTGCACATATGTATGTGTTTATACCTCTGAAACAGTTCTAAGTATTTTTGGGAATTAGAGACCTTACTTTCACTGTTTGTTTGTTTGTTTGTTTGTTTGTTTGTTTGAGACAGGGTTTCTCTGTGGAGCCCTGGCTGTCCTGGAACTCACTCTGTAGACCAGGCTGACCTCGAACTCAGAAATCCGCCTGCCTCTGCCTCCGACTCCCAGGTGCTGGGACTAAAGGCGTGCGCCACCATTGCCCTGCTTATTTACACTTTATAAAATAGCATATGGCTTCTTTTTGTTATTGTTGTTAAGAGTAGCTTGTTCTGGGAGTCAGGGCTCACTCTTTTAATTCAATCAACTGAGGTACATAAGAGTTCTAGAAAAGTCTGGTTTACAGAGAGGGACAGCCGCGCCCCCGCGCCCCCCCCCCCCCCCCACACACACACATACACACGGTGGGCCATGAGTGTAATCCAAGCCCTTGAGAGACAGAGATAGGGCAATCTTTCTTTGTGTTTGAAGCCTGTAGTCTATGTAGAAAGTTTAGAACAGCCAAGGTGATTCACTGAAACTTTGTCTCAAAAAGAGTTGGGGGGTGGAGCTTGGTGGTGTAAAAGTTTCTTTAGGTGAAGTATTTGATGGCATATTTAAAATGGCTTTTCTATCAGAATTATCAGAATTATTTTTTTTCTTGCTGTTTTTGAAGGCTTTCTTCATTCTTTCCCCAGATAAAACAATAAAATTATGGAAAATCAGTGAAAGAGACAAAAGACCAGAAGGCTATAACTTGAAAGAGGAAGATGGAAGATATAGAGATCCTACTACAGTCACTACACTACGAGTAAGTATGTAAATGACTCTCAGTCTCAGAACAGTGGGCAGAGGCAGGTGCGTCTCTAAATTTGAGGCCAGCCTAGTCTTCACAGTGTGTTTTCCAGGGTAGACAGAGATGTAAGAAGACCCTGCCTTCAAAGAAAGGGGAGGGGTTGGATTGGATTTTTTTGTCAATATTTGTATACCCTGATCCCAAGCTGGTGAACAGTTCTTTATGGGACATTGCATCTCTCCACTGAAACAGAAACAACTCTATAGAGGTCTTACTACTAACAGAGGCAGATCTGGGACACACATAGACTGTGTTTTATACTGTGCTGTTCACTGGTTTTGACTTTCAGAGTTGGAACCTCATTGGTTACATAGTGAGCTTTGGAGCTGAGAAAGTAGAAATGGCAGAATCTTACAGTTGGTGCTAAAGGTGTTAATAATAAGAAACTGGGCTTTCCATTTTAGTTTCATTAATTCAAACCATAAAATTTGCTAGTTTATACCAGAGCTACTACTTGTAAACTAGTACTATTTCTCCTGGAAAAGAGGGCAGGTTGTTCATTATTTTTCTTTTTCCCAGTTCAGTGCTTAACAGAGCCTACATTAGTAGCTTTAAAAAAAAAAAAAACAACAAACTCACTATTAATAATATTCTTCTGTGTCCTGTTTTTCTCAAAAGTAGAATAATGGTCTTGTGAATCTTTTTGTTTTGTTTTGTTTTATTTTGTTTGTTTTGTTTTGTTTTTCGAGACAGGGTTTCTCTGTCTGTGTAGCCCTGGCTGTCCTGGAACTCACTCTGTAGACCAGGCTAGCCTCGAACTCTCTAACTCAGAAATCCGCCTGCCTCTGCCTCCCAAGTGCTGGGATTAAAGGCGTGTGCCACCACCACCCGGTGGTCTTGTGAATCTTGAGTACTGTTGAAAAGGATTTTACTTTTGTAAAATGGGGATTTTTCTATTTTATTGACAGGTGCCGGTATTTAGGCCCATGGATCTAATGGTGGAAGCCAGTCCACGGAGAATATTTGCCAACGCTCACACCTACCACATCAACTCAATTTCTATCAATAGTGATTATGAAACCTACTTGTCAGCAGATGATTTGCGAATTAATCTCTGGCATCTGGAAATTACAGACAGGAGTTTTAGTATCCACTTGATTTGTTTAGTTTGGTGTTTGGTAATTATGTCTGTCCCTAATACCTTCTCTCAGATGTATCAGAGTCCTTGATTTATAGTGTCTTTACATCTATATGGTATCTCCTCACCCCCTCTTTTTTTAAATAATTAAAACTGGGAAAGTTGGACTATGGAACTGATTTAAAGATTTGTTCCTGCCCATGTGTGACAGTGTTGTCTCACAATCCCTCACTCAGTGGGCTAAGACTGGAGGGTCAGGAGCTTCAGGCCAGCAGTCTATGGATGGGAAGAACTGTCAGTCAGAAAGAAAAAGGTTTTTTTGTTTTTTGGTTTTTTTGTTTTGTTTTTTCGAGACAGAGTTTCTCTATGTAGCCCTGGCTGTCCTGGAACTCACTCTGTAGACCAGGCTAGCCTCGAACTCTCAGAAATCCACCTGCCTCTGCCTCCCAAGTGCTGGGACTAAAGGCGTGCACCACCACCGCCTGGCCAAAAAGAAAAAGTTACAAAACACATTTTAACACTTCCGGGGTTTGCTCATAAAAAGTAGTAGTTATTGAGAAGAAAGATGTGATCTTAGTTACTTGCCCTTTTCCAAGTGTAGATTCCTTAATGAAATGCCATCTAGATATTGTGGATATCAAGCCTGCCAATATGGAAGAGCTCACAGAGGTGATCACAGCTGCAGAATTTCATCCCAACAGCTGTAACACGTTTGTGTACAGCAGCAGTAAAGGAACTATTCGGTTATGTGACATGAGGGCATCTGCGCTCTGTGACAGACATTCTAAACGTAAGTATTTTTGCCCTTTCTTTAAAATGGTCATCTACTCAGACTTGATCTGAGCCTTTGTGTTTATTCCACTGGAAGCCAATAGGGTGGGAGTGTGTGTTGGGGGCATAGGTGTGGTTAAACTCTCTAACATGATATGAAGAGCTTCCTTCCTTTCTTCCCTTCTTATTCCTCATTTTCTCCCTAAGAAAGAGTTTTCTCATCTTTATAAAATGTTGGGAAAACATGGGCTTTAAAATGAGTGAGGCTGGGAAGCTGGTTCAGCAGTGAAGAAGACTGTGGCAGCTCAGAGCTGTTTGTATGTTACACCAGTTCCAAAGAATCCAACACCCTATTCTGGCGCCCTTAGACACTGCACATACTATTTGTACACATCAATACATACCATACACATAAAAATAAATGAAATATTTTAAAAGCAAAAAGAGGGGATTGTAAAAATATTTTCTTGGTTTTGGTTGCATTGAAAAACCCAAATATGTGCCAGTTGACAAAATCCTAGAAATTGGATGGGTGGAGTGGGTGATGGTTTCCAGAGTGATGATGTAGGGTCAGTGAGGTAGGGTGCATACTCAAAGTCCCATGGGAGTCCTCCTGTGCAGAATCAGACCCCTACCTTCTTAGCAGGGTTTTGCACTTTGTAGTGATCATTCATTTTCTCTCAAGAGTCTTTGTGACAAAACATCTTCCCAAAGCTGGCAAAATGTTTTAATTTTTCTGGATTAGCCTGTGGTTTTTATCTCACTTGAATGGTTATTTTAGAAAATGATTTATCCAAGCCCAAATATGAAACTTTTCCCCCTCTGTTTTCAGTGTTTGAAGAACCTGAAGATCCCAGCAACAGGTCGTTTTTTTCTGAAATCATCTCCTCTATTTCTGATGTAAAATTCAGCCATAGTGGTCGCTATATGATGACTAGAGACTATTTGTCAGTCAAAATTTGGGACCTAAATATGGAAAACAGGCCCGTGGAGACATACCAGGTATTTGCAGTTTGTTTCTTTTTAAGAGTGTATACCTGTGGAAAGTATATGGAGGTGCTCCTTACAGAGTTTTTGGAGGGGTATACAGTAGTTCATTAGCTTTTCCTCAGAAGTGTCATGAATGTGTTACCGTTGCCTGTGTAAAGTATATTGTCTGTTCAGGGTTGCACATAAACTTAATTTTGTTACTCATGTGGTTCAGTACTGGCAACTTAGTGTGTTCCTTTGTCAATGGAAGTGAGAAATGTGGGTAGGAGCAGGGCTGGGGGCACTCTTGGCAGAGGACACACTCCAGACACAATGTGGGTAATAGTGAGCCAGAGCTTAAATCTGACAGCCAAGTCAGGACTCCCTTTTGGCTAACTGTGTCAAGTTTAAGTCGAGTTAAAAGGACCTGAAATCTCAGCATATGGCTTTAGAAAGTTCTCTCCAGTGCAGAATGTATATTCAGGTTTCTCCCTCTGTCAGCTAGTTTCTGTTCTTAACCAGTATCTGTGAAGTCACAGGCAAGGGAAACTGAGTTGCACAGTACAGCAGCACAGTCCAGTCTAGCAGGGCCTATGGAGCAGGATGTGGAAAGCAGTGCAGTTATGCTAGCAAGGTGATGGTTGTGCCTGCCTATAATCCCAGTACTTGGGAAGCAGAGTTTGAGGCCAAACTCTCTTGAGTTTGAGGCCAGCCAGGGCTACACAGAGAAACCCTGTCTCAAAAAAATAAAAAAAGAAAAGAAATTTTTACATAATGTCATATAAATGTGGCTAGATTCACTCCCTGCTTATATATAAAGTGGACATTTGTAATGAGCCTAGGTGTGAGTGTGCAGTGCACACATGTAATACCAGAACTCAGGAACATGAAGCAAGAGGTTTCTTAGAGCCCCTAAGTTTGAGACCAACCTGGGCAACACAAATAAAAAGAAGTTACTTATTGGTGGCTGTCATTTCTTCCTTTTAAGGCAGCTTTTATATCTGTCTGGTTTACTTTCCAAAATTACTGTTTGTGAAATACTAGTAAATGTAGAATTATAATTCAAAAGGAGATACATCTTCATTGCCTTTTTATATGGAATAAATGATATGAAGTGGCACTCATGTGTTTTATTGTATATATTTGTGTATGTACTTGAATATGCTATGCACACACGTGGGAGTCAGTCAGAGGATTCTGTTCTCTCTTTCTACTATGTATCTTGGGACTCGGGTCATCAGACTTCATGGCAAGCACTCCCACTAGCCACCTGTCTCACTGCCAGCTACTGAATCTTTAATGAATGATGTGGGTACATGAAAGCCAAGAGAAGTCAGTTCATCACTAAGCCAAAGCCTTGCTGCACTGTATATGTAATAGGAAATAATAGGCCAAAGTTAAATTTGTGCAGCATTCTTACTAGCAGCAGTGGGCTGAGAAGTAGAAATGGAATTCTGCTGCAACGTTTTTTTGGTCTCCTGTTTGTCCTTTTCAAATACCTTCTGACTTAGGTATTGTCTCCCTTAGTGTTTATTGATGTGAAGAGATACCGTGACCAAGGCACCCGGGGGGCAGAGGCAGGCAGATCTCTGTGAGGCCAGCCTGGTCTTCATGGTGGGGAATGTGGGCTCCAGGCAGGCATGGTGCAGAAGCAGTAGCATTTATAAGCAGGAGGCAAGAGAGACTTGTCCTAGCTTGGGCTTTTAAAATCTCAAAGCCCATTCCTAATCTAATACCTCTTCCAAAAGGCCACACCACGATATTCTTCCTAAATAGACTATCAGCTGTGGACCCCAGACACGTGAGCCTTGGGGTTAGCAGGGTTGTACATTCTTCTGTAATTGTAGGATATTTTATTTATGCTTATCAAGGTGCACTGCAATGCCCAGAAAGGTGGTTTTTTTTCTTAGTTGTGTCACAGGAAAGTGTGCCTGCCTAAGAGTTTGTCAAGATTAAGAAAAGTACAAGTACAGAGGGATGTATAATTCCGTATAAACAACTCTAAGTATAGAGATTTTTAGTTATGTTCCTGATTTGAGAAGAGAATGATGTAAACTCAGTATATATTTTCTCTGCAGGTACATGAATACCTCAGAAGTAAACTTTGCTCACTGTATGAAAATGACTGCATATTTGACAAATTTGAATGTTGTTGGAATGGGTCTGACAGGTAAGGAAAGAAACTGGCTATTTCATCTCTCTTGTTTGTTACACTAGGTAAAAATACAGCCTCAGGTTTTTTGACACCAGTTAAAGAGTCATTTACTTTTATTCTGTAGGTATGACTAACTCTTGTAATGAGAAGAGCCATAGTTATGAAAACTAAGCATTGATTTTAAAGTAAATGTAAAGCAAAGGAGATCTATAGCAAGAAGTCATAGGTACTTAAATTACTATTCTAAAAACGTTTACCCCTTTTGTAAGCCAAATAATAACATGGCTAGCCAGGTACGATATGTGCCTATAGTCCCACCTACTTGGGCAGCTGAGGCAGGAGGATTGTTTTAACTAAGGAGTCTGAGGCCAGCCTGAGTAACACAGACAACAATTCAAGAAACATTTAAAAGTAAAGTCACAACTGCTATGCCATCAATTAGTTAAAATAGTGGATTTTCACTTGGTTGCTGTTCTACTGTTTAGAGAACTGTTGAGGCAGCAGATACTTGATGCAGTATCTTGTTACCACTCCATTCGTTTCACAGAAGCAACAATTTGTATGTTATTGCAAGCACTTCCTGCTTACTGTGTTCCAATTAAAGCATAATTTTGAAGTTACTTTAGTCCATATGTAAAGCAATTAGAGGTGCTTTATTTGGCAGTAGTTGAGTTTAAAAAGCTTGATACGATTCAGATTCCTTGGTGTTAGATGTTCCAGAGAGCCCTGGAACTTAGGTTACTTGTCTTTTCTTTCTTTTTTACTTTTTAAGTTTATTTTCCCGAGTTTTACCTGTGACCCAATAATAGGCTGGCCACACTACTCACAGGCCTACTGTGGGCTAAACACTTGTGCTAAACATGAGGCTAGGAAGGACAGATATGAAGAGAACAATACTGGTGTGTAAGTGTTAGTAGTTCTCAGTTCCTTCCATTACGAAGGAAGTCACTTTCTGAGGGCAGACAGGATGACTGATGGAGCAAAAGACTTGCAAGCCTAACAACCTGAGTTCCATTCCTGGAGCTCACAAGGGAAAGAAAACCAACTCTCAAAGGTTGCCCTCTGACCTCCATATCACACCACAGTCAGTCAACCAATGAACTGATGGATGGATAGATACATAGATACATACATAGAATTGAAAGAAAAAAGTTACCGGGCAGTGGTGGTGCACGCCTTTAATCCCAGCACTTGGGAGGCAGAGGCAGGTGGATTTCTGAGTTCGAGGCCAGCCTGATCTACAAAGTGAGTTCCAGGACAGCCAGGGCTACACAGAGAAACTCTGTCTCGAAAAACCAAAAAAAAAAAAAAAAAAAAAAAAAGATAATTGCAGAAATTAGGTCTTCTGGGATAATATAACCAGAAGGAGGAAGGCAAAGGGACCAATAGTCCAATGTCATTTACATACCGAGTTTTGGGACCATTGTTGGTTTCATGAGGATTCCAAAAATTGTTTTGTGTTACAGGTACAATAATTTCCTGTTAATGAAGATATGTTTTGGTTTTTGACCAGTTCTATTTTAAACATTCATAAAACATCTGAACTTGGCATAGTTAAGCACATGCTTTTATAGTTCTTGCACAAGGAGTGTTGAGGAAGGAGAGTTACGATTTTTAGGCCAGTCTCGGTTGCATAATGAGACCTCATCTCAAAAATGAAAACAAAAAAATTATCTGACAAGTAAGATAGGCCATAATTTGCATCATGAAACTTTGCTTTCTTAGAAATAGAAACAACCTTTTCTTTTCTTTTCTTTTTTCTTTTCGTTTTGGAGGAGAGTGGAATGTTATTGGGTACAATGAGCTCCACAGTTGGCTGCTTCTACAAACCCCTTAGTTTTGTTGGTTGTGTGGCCTGCATTTGGAAAAATTAACTCATATGAGGAAGAAAAATGTGCTTGGATGTTATCAACTTTGTTCAGTATTTTGGATTTGTGTTTTGGAAGGAGGGTTTGAATGTTTGTGGTTTAATATCAACAGGCTCTGTGTCCTAACTCAAATAAGCTTAGAGAAGTTGCCTCCTATAGAGTGCTGGGCCAGGATGGTCACTGACTTGTTACAGTAAACATAGTCTCTTGTTAACATCTTTGACTGGGTGTTCTACCTTTACAGTGTTGTCATGACTGGATCCTACAATAATTTCTTCAGAATGTTCGACAGGAACACAAAGCGGGATATAACCCTAGAAGCATCACGAGAAAACAATAAGCCTCGCACAGTTTTGAAGCCACGCAAAGTCTGTGCAAGCGGCAAGCGAAAGAAAGATGAAATAAGTGTTGACAGCCTAGACTTCAACAAGAAAATCCTTCATACAGCCTGGCATCCCAAGGAAAACATCATTGCTGTAGCAACTACAAACAATCTGTATATATTTCAAGACAAAGTGAATTAGGCTGGCATTCTCTGCAGAGGAGCCACTTCCTGCTTAGTGAGATAGTTGAATCTAGCATTCATACCTATAAGAGAGCGGTCCATTGTGGCGCCCCTTTCCAGTGTTTGACAGTGTGCCATTCAACAACACATTTGATAGCCACATGGAGAAAGCCGTGTGGGTGCATCCCGGGCTGTTTTCCATGTCTGCTAGCCATTTAGGGAAGGGAAGGGCACTTTTAATTTAATGACTTCTTGCACCATCTTGCCTGGTGGACTGGACTGGACTGTGTCAGCATTGATGTACTTCACTTTTTATGCCTTCCATTGTGATGACGTCAAACACAGTGAACGCCTTCAGTCATGCTATGGAATTTGTGTATCCTCATTACTGTATCATTTGTGGGGTACACCCCTCCCGTCTTTTTTAAATTAAATACAGCTCATTCTTACTGTGGCTTGTAGCATTCCTCCTCTCTGGCCTCCTGGACTCTTCCCCTCCATCTCTTACCCTTGCCCTTTCCACCTTGTCTCGGTGGTGGCGTATTCAAAAAAGGAAGAACGAAAGCACACAAAATGGGGTCAGTGATAATGGGGGAATATGTTGCGAACAAATGTTTTAATAACAGTTGGCTGTAATCACTCCTTGCCATGTCTGGCACTGAAAATAAGGAAAAAAAAAACTACTACTGAATAAAAGTGACAAAGAATGGAGAATCTGGTTTTCTTTTTCTTTTTCATCTACCTCTTTAAACCAATATTTTGTGTCATATCCTTGGGCGCAATGAAATGAAATGGGTTTCTATTGTTTCCTTGGTATTTTTGTGAACTATTTTTAACAAGTGTTCTTTTCCATAGATCCTCAGAGAGGATCATGGTTCTGTGCATCTATGTGTTAAATATATATCATTGTTAAGGGTTCACAGTCTAGAAATGCTAGAAGGTTCTGAGGTTTTTTTTGTTTTTGTTTTGTTTTGTTTTTGTGTGTCTGTGCTTAATTTCTCTGTTAACAAAGTTGCTGTCAATGAGAACCACAGTTGTAGAGCTTCACTCTGAAGTCTTCCAGTGCTTTATTTCTTTGCCTTAGGAAATACCAAGTAGACACGTTGACTTCTCTTGATGTTCAGGCACAGTAGACTGGAATTTCATCTAGAAGTAACTTGGTAGATGAAACCTGATGCTACACTAAAGAGCTGTTTTGTACTAATTGCTGTGGAATCAATGAATTGTACTTTGCCATAGATACATCTTTTGTTTTGGTTTTCCAAAGGTATATCTGGGACAAGCTTTTAAAGGTACAGTGCTGCATGGACTGCAACAGCTGCATAAGCACCCGATGTGTGTTGACCTACAGTGTCCCAGTGCTGAGGCCCTAGCCAAAGATGGAGAGTGTCCCAGTTAGCGTGGGATGGACCTTGGTCAGTCCTGCAGGAAGCTTTATGGAGAGAGAATGGACTTTATTTTTAAAAGATGAATGAGCAGGCATTTATATGAGAATGGTAGTATATTTTGATTGAACAGTAATATAACAATGTTGAATTTAGAGGACTCTGTGTGCTTATATATTCCCACTGCCTATTGTTCTTCGGTAATGAAAAGTGATTAAACAACACCACAATTCCCTCTACACTTACACAAATATTATGTCTTGTACATTAACATTTTTAGCACACAGGAGAAATTTTATGTAATAAAGTTACTGTATCTTTTGGAGTTAAATTTGAATTTGTATTTAAACAATATGTCTGATGATTCTTAATGGCACTTTTACTAATTTATTTGGGGGTTGTGGGTAAATTTTTAGTCTATTTATTTCTTTGGCTTGCAAGTGGATAGTTGTGCATCCAGAAGGATACTAATTTTTGATGGGATAACTTTTCATATCCTTTGGGATGGCATTCCTGTGGTTTGGCTTTGAGCCACCAAGCTCAAATAGAAGTCCTTTTTAAAAAAAAAAAAAATCAAATGATAGTTTCTATGATTCTCATCCATCACTATAAGGGTTAGTGTTGTCCAATGAAACTTCACTGTCAAACTTAAGATGCCTATTAGGAATGCTATCATAAGCTATGTAATTAAGTGTTTTTCCAATATCTTTGGTGTAGCAAACTATGCCCAGCCACTCATTTTATATAGTCAACTTTTTATTAATAAAACTTACACAATAAATGTAGTCTTGTCAACTTGATTGTATTTTTCTAATCTCTTAAGATCCGTACACATATTTTACCCTCTTGTAATGTTTTTGAAGTGCTAGAATGGGAGAGTTCTCATTCTGTTAAATGTCTGTCTTCACTTGGTGGCTGGGCAGTAAAAATTGGCAATATATAAACCTATAATAACACTTTATAATAACTTCTTGTTATCAGGTTGTATATCCATTCCTCTCAGAATTTAAAAAAGTATTCCTGAACTTTTTTCCCTTTAAGTTATTTAAACCCCTAAATCTTACACATGATACTTTGTTGTGTTATTATTATTAAATGTATGTATGGTGCCTGAGTGCATTTGGCACAGCATACACATGGAAGTCAGAGGACACCTTGCAGGAATTAGTTCGTTTTCTACCATGGAGTCCAGAGATCATACTGCAGGTCATCAGGCTTGCTCACTGCTCTCACTGATAACCTAACCATCCCACCAACCCTAGAGAAATGCAGTCACATGTAACTTACTACATTAATATGTTTATTTTTAGAGAATTTGTGTGCATGTAGACCTAAGCAGTGCTGGCAAAAGCATTTTTGGTGAAACATAAACCATTCAATTATTTAAGAATATCCCACATGATTTCAAATAGAAATAATTTGTATTGGCTCTAACCCCACCCAAAATTGTTGACTGGGCCAGTATCAAGATGGCTCAGTGGGTAAAGGCTCTTGAAACCAAACCTGATGATCTGAGATCAGCTGACAGAACCTAAAGTGACAGAAGTGAATCTCAGTAGTTATCCTCTGCCCTCCACACCTGCATGTACACTCTTTCACACAAACTAAACATTTAAAAAAATGTGTTTAAGGTCTGCTGTGGTGGGCACAACTTGAGTCCCACCACATGAGAGACAAAGGCTAAGCCTACTCTACAATGTCTTACCACATGGGAGATAAAGGCAAGCTAATCCCTTGAGTTCAAGGCCAAACTACAAAGAGGTTCCAGAGCTACCAGTAGAGACCCTGTCCCCCTCCCATCCCCAATTTAAGTGTGTCTAAATAGTGAAGAATCTTACCAATTCTCTAAACTATTTGAGAACTCTTAATGATCTGTCAAAGGATGGAGAGTGGAAGCTGTGTGACAGTTTCTTACACAACATTCTTTTTTGTGTTGTTTGTTTCCATTTTTATTTGATATTTCCAAATATAAAAAAGAAAGTCAAGATTCTTACAATTCTTACAACAGTTCGAATGCAACCATCTTAGATGAGACCATGCAAAGCAATTCTTGTATACTGAACCATTTCTCCACCTTTGCTGCTTCATACAATGTGATGGAGAAAACTGGATGGCTTGTGCTTGGTGGGAAAATGCCATTTCTTTACACTAACAGCAGGTTTTACTTTTCTGCAAGTCAATTTCTAACAAGTTACTTTGCTTTTTCTTTTAAACTTAGGAGGCACGTGCACAAACCGCAGTCTCCGCTGCAGGCGGCTGGGCTGGTTCTAGTAGATTCAATTTCCTTTATATCTTTCGAGTCCAGATTCCAGAAGAATAATGAAGAACCCTCAGGTGAAATTTAACAATGAAGCTGCATTCTGTTACATTCTGTCAATCTTTGCTATTTGCATAGACTAAAGACAGTTTGCTAAATGGCACTGAAGAAAAACCCTGACATGACTTAGTCCAAATGTTTCTGACCAAAGAAACTATACAACAATATTTATAGGCTAACTTTTAAAGAGATGGTTGACATTAATACTGAACATATTTTACATGGCAATACACAGTTCAAGAGTTTATAAAATAGGTTCATGCATTATTACCTGAGAGTATCATGTACATAGAAACTCCCAAGCACATGTGATGGTTTATTAGCTGGAAGCAGTATTCTATACAAACAGTCCAGTTTCTTTGTTGTGTTTAGTACATGGAGAAATTGCAGAGAATTGTGAGAAAACAAAAAGAAAATTATAAAAGCTCTGGGCGATCACGTTTGATTACATAATTTAGAATGAATACTACTGGCTGAGTTTCTGCTTTGGAATCTAATGTTTAGTTCTGCTGCATCTGCTTACACAGCATTCTTAATTATCATGTGTAGTGAATCCATACGACCTGAAGGTGTTCTCTTAAGATACTGGGTCATTTGGGACACACTTGCCCTATGTTTGAATTAGAGACTTTACAGATTTGAAGTTAACATAAAATGGCCCTCTATTAACACCTTGCTTGTCAGACATTCACAAAACTTTGAATTCTACAAAGAATTCTTCAAGCAGCAAGTTAAACTGGCATAAACATATTTAGAAATAGGACCAGCAACAGGTTGAGTAATTTCCCGCTAGGGGGCAGTAGTTAAATCGTAACCAGCCTCTGTGAAGTGTTTTTGGACTATATAGACAGGTATGCCATTAAAACTCAAACCAGGTCAAGTAAACGATCATTTTAAAGTGTGCTTATATCCAAGTTATCCCCTGTTCGATGAGACCCTGCAGTGAGAGGAGACCAGTGCTAGACACCATAAAGCCAACTGTTCTTTGGAATGGACCAGTTTCTCTGGGAAAGAACTCACCCTTCTTCCCTTGCAAAGGCAGATCTGATACACCTTGTTACAAGACCAGAAACTTCATGCACATTTGTGCAGAGTTAACAGCAATATGTGTAAATTCGATTCAGTCAAAAAGTACTTAAGCAGAGAGGGTGTTCACTCACATGTTAGGCTTATTTTCTATAGGAACTGGATTCATCCTATCCTATAGAAGTTTAATGTCTTCCTTTTCTCCCCGACATTTTGAGCAGATTCTCATGTTGTGGTTTGTTTTGAGACAAAGGGTAGTCTTGAACTCCTGATTTTCTTGCTTCTCTGTCTTCCAAGTGTGTGCTGGTAGGTGACTTTCAAGTATCTATTATCAGAATTTTATTGTCTACATAGCCTCACTTGTGTGCATTTTCCATGGCCAGTTCCTGTTTTTGATTTTTGTTTTTATTTTGCAAGTAGAAATTAATAACCATGCCAGTCTCAGTGTAAAAACTATTCATGCATAGTCCTACAGACAGAATTAGTGCCTTACAAGACAGGGACATTACAGATTTGAGACATGATGACAAAAATAGTTTCCAAAATATCAAACCTTTGGATCATGATTATATCAGCCATGTTTTCACATCCACTAATTGTACAAAAGCTGAGTTTTCATTTTTATCCATTTAAGAAAGTAAATGGTAACCTAGGTTGGGTGTGGTGGTGCATACCTGTAATCACAGCAGCCTTGAAACAAGGAGAGAGGATTAGGAATCCAAAGTCATCTTCAGCAATATAGGGTTCCAGGCCAGCCTGGACTACATGCAACACTAACAAAAAGGTGGGGGTGGGGCCAGAGTGACGTCTGAGCCCATTGAGAGTCTTTGTTACTCTTCCAGAGGACCGAGGTTCAGCAGCTCCTGGCACCTACATGGTGGATCATAGCTATCTGTGATCCCAGTGCCAGAGGAATCCAGTGCCCTCTTCTTGCCTTGGAGGGTGCAAATCATGCACATTGTGTACATGCATCCATCCATGCACACACACACACACAGATGCAAACAAAATACTCATACAAAATCTGAAAGAAACAAAACCATGTAACCCAGTTTGTTTGCCTGCTCCCAGTGTTTGTAGTCTGGATATAATACTCTTACAAGAGTATGCTTCAGAGAGTACATTCTCTCAATATGAGGCATGTTTCTTTTCGTTCCTAATGGGGTCTTTTGAAAAATGTCTTTTTGCTTTAATTTTTTTCTATTTATGTCCTTGAGAGAAGAGGAGGCATGACTGTGGAGGTCAGAGAATAAGATGAGGTGGTCTACTTTGCCTACTTTGAAATATATGTTAAGTCAGTCTCAGGTGCATAAAATACTTACTTAGACATAAAATGAGAAAACCCAGAGGAATGTTTTTATACCTGCATTATGCCTTTATAAATATAATACTGTATCTAGGAGGTGAAAGGCCTAAAAGATGACCTATTTTCCTTCTCTCCCTCCCTTCTTCCTTCCTTCCTTCTTTCCTTTTTTCTTTCTGTGTGTGTATGTGTGTGTATGGCACTGTGGACATGTGGCGGTCCAAGGACAACCTGTGAGGGTTGGTTCTCTCCTTATACTATGTGAGTCCCAGAGATTGAATTGAGTACATAAGTCTAGTCTTCAACCTAGCCTTTAACCCGAGTCATGTCACCAGAGAATCAGAATTTTTGTTTTTAAATGCATATGGATGTTTGCCTACATGTATGTCTGTGTACCATGCGGTTTCTCATGCCCTCAAAGGCCAGAATACAGCATTGAGTCCCCTGTGAACAAGCAGATGTCCCCTGTGTCATGTGGATGTTTTAAACCAAACCCAAGTCCTTTGCAAGAGCAGCCAGTGTGCTTAACTCCTGAGCCATCCCTCCAGCCCTTGAAAGCAGTTTTAAATTCCCATGCATTTTTTTTTTCTCTTGTGGATTGTGTTTTTGGGTGTCTTTTAAGGTTTTTGCCTAATTCAAAGTGACAAAGACTTATTGTTAAAACCTTTCAGGTTTTACATTTAGGTCTATGATCCATTTGAGATGTTTCATAAAACATGAAAGTTTGAGAAAAGTGGTCGAGGATCAATTTTCTTCACAATATTCTTGAAATTCAATTGACTATAAACTTGTGAGTCTATGTCTGATCTATTCCATTAATATACAGGTCTATGCTTTTCCCAGTACCATTGTCTTGATTACTAGTATATAAACCTTGGAATAAAGTAGTATGTGTGAAAATATTTTTAAATTATTTTGCTATTTTACCCCACCCCCTTTTCTTATTCTTTGCAGAGTTTGAGGTTGTTCAGAGATTTTACATGGAGGCTAGAGAGACTGTTCAGGAGTTAAGCACACTGGCTGCTCCTGTAGAGGATCCAAGTCCTGTTTTCAGCACCCACATAGGGTGGTTCACAACTGCCTGTAATTCCAGATCCAGGGCATCTGATGCCTTCTGGCCTCCATGTGTACTGCCCTCACATACATAACCCCATACTCAGGAAGGCATATATATTCCTAACTTTTAAAAAGTTTTTCAGTAGATTTAGGCACAGACACCAAAGAGAGGCATTCAGAAAAGTATACATCCAACTGTTTAAGCAACTTTATGTACCTTTATGTACAGCTTTTGAAAATGTGTATTAACATTACTTTGAACTTTTCTATAATGCTGAGGAACAAACCCAGGGTTGCATGCCTTAAGCACACATTTTCATTTTGTTTTGCTTTAGCCAGGGTCTTACTATGTAGCTCTGGCTGTCCTGGAACTCACTATGTAGACCAAGATGCCTTCAAACTTCACAGAGATCTACCTGCTGCCTCTGACTTCAGAGTTCTGGGGCTAGAGGTGTGTGCCACCACACCTGGTGATATTTTGCTTTCTTATCTAAATTGAATTGTTGTACACTAGTTTACTAGGTAATGGAGCTGTCTGAAATATCAGAGAACTGAGTAGCTATGGTTAGCTGGAGTGTCATATTCAGTCTTATGGTCATGTTCAGTCTTATCTATCTAGGAAGAGAGATTCTACCTCTTGTCGCCCCCTCTTATCCCTATTTCTTTCTACAAACAGCTGAGTTCTCACACAGAACACCTTTTAAAATGATAAGACATGCTTCAACAGAAAGGAAGTGATCCAAGTTATTTGTAGTAGGTATGTTCTCAGGTCAAAATACAATTTTTTTTTACACCTTAAAATCAAGGCTGGGGAAATGGGTAGGGAAAAATAAACACTTAAAAATGCCTAAAGCTTTTTGAAAAAGCACCTAAAAGTGGGTTGGAGAGATGGCTTAGTGGCTAAGAGTCCATACTACTCTTGTAGAGGACCTGAGTTGAGTTCCCAGCACAAATACAGGGTATCCTTAGAGACTTTCATAACTCCAGTTCAAGAGGGATCCAATGTCTTTGACTTCTGTAGCACCTGCACTAATGTACATATCCATACATAGAAATACTACTAAAAATAAAATAAATCTTGTTTTTGTTGTTTTCAGTGGGGTTTCTCTGTGTTGTAGCCCTGGTTGTCCTGGAACTGGCTCTGCAGACCAGGCTACTTTCTGCTAGAATTATACACATGTGATACCATACCTGGCTACAAATAAACTAAAATTTTAAAAAGAAGCATCTAAAAGAAAAACGGAGCTGGCACATAGCTACAGTAATATAGTACTTTAAAAAATCAACAAATATTAAGAAATATGAGAGGAAATCAGCTGGGGATGGGGTGTTGCACACCTTTAATGTGCATGTTAAAGTCAAAGGCAGGTGGATCTTTGAGTTGGAAGACAGCCTCATCTAAGAGCGAGTTCCAGGACAGCCAGGGTGACCCAGAGAAATGCTGTCTTGAAAAAAACCAAAACCAAAGAGGCTACATCTCAGCCCAGCATGGTGGCTCACATTTGAAATAGTGGCACTGAGGAAAAATTGTCAAGAGCTAGAGACCAGACTGGAGTATGGAGTGAGTTGAAGACCAGCATGGGTTACAGAAAAAAGGCCAGCAAATGAATAAATAGATCAGTAGATATATATCACTGGGTCAATTGGCTACAAAGTTGGGAAGAATCAAAGACAGAATTTACAATATGAAAAGTTAATTCCAGGAGAATTAAGGAAGAATCTACATGTAAAACTAATCCTAAGAGAGAATTAGTTATACAAGAAATTCATAATCTTTAAAAAAATATAATTACTGGGGCAGGAGTGGTGGCTGAGCAGTGAAGAGCATGTGCTGCTCTTGTAGAGGACCTGAATTCGATTTCCAGAACCCAAGTCAGGGGGCTCATAACTTCCAGAAAGTTCAGATTTAGAGCTATCGGATATTTCTGGCCTCGGATGGCACTCGGGCTCCAGCACACACATGCGCGGAACAAAAATTAAAATAAATCTTAAATTGTTGTGTGTGCGTGTATTTATGATTTATAGGGGCAGGGCGCATGCCGCCGTCCATTTATGGAGGCCAGAAGGCAACTTTGTCAGCTTTCCATATACCATGAGTTCTGGGGAATGAACTCAGTACTCAGTCTCCACACTCAGCAAGCACCTTTACCGGCAGAACCATCTTACTGGCTGGTCCTATATTTAATATCTTGGTGCGTGGGGTATCTAAGACCGTATTTTTTAAAAAGACAATTCCTTGAAAATTCAACATCTGCAGATTACAACAAATTCCATATTGAGAAAAAACATTCTCTATACAAAAATTAGGTCATGGAAACTTGACAAAGTTAGAATGAAGGAGTTTTTAGGAATATTAAGTAACAGAGTCAGCAGCGTACGGGAGGAAGGACATTTACAGAGATAGGTAACAATCAGGGTTTGGGTAAATCTATATCCTCCCACCCCTTTTAATTTGTTTTTGAAGGCAAGGGCTCGCTCAATAGCCTAGGCTGCAGGGAACTCCAGATCCTCCTGTCTCAGTCTCAGGAAAGGCTGAGATGACAAGTGTGCGCGCTACGCCCAGCCATTGATTTTTTTTTTTAAACCTGATTGCCTGTTACCTTTGTAATTAAAATTTTAGAAATTCCAACAAGGTGATTAGCTCCAAGGTACCTCACAAAGTATTCTGTAGGAGGATACAAATGGATGTTTCACTAAGGGGAGGAACTGGGATTTTCTTGCTTCTTTAAAGCCAGGGGTGAGCCCTTACGTGGATGCTGCAGGCGTGGGAGGGGCTCCATTCAGGCCCCGCGCTTCCGGACTGCACACTCCTCCCCATTCTCGATCCAATGCCAGCTTTCTAGCTCAGCCCTTCCGGCTATTGCGACTGACTCGCAGGAATTCGTTCCTGGCACCCCGTGTCAGCGCGACTTCCGCACCCTCAAGTCCCGAGCCGCTTGCAAATGCCCCGCCCAGCTCGGCCTGGTCACGCCCCCTCTCTCCGGCTCAGACCCCGCCGTCCAGCTGCCTGTGTTGTCATCACGTGGCCGGGAGGGTCCTGACGTCACGATGGGAGGGACTGCGCAGACGCAGAAAAGGGGGCGGGGGGACTCGACTTGTTGTGTTGCTGTCGGAGAGCCGGATACTGTCGTCCTGCGGCCGTGCCGCTTCCAGTCTCCAGATCATGTCTCACTTAGTCGAGCCGCCGCCTCCCCTGCACAACAACAACAACAACTGCGAGGAAGGCGAGCAGCCCCTGCCGCCGCCCGCTGGCCTCAACAGTGAGCGCGGGGCCGCCGGGCTCAGCGGAGGGATGGGGGAGGAGGAGCCGCTCGGCCACCGCCGCCGTTCAGGGTGTTGGGGGTGGGCGGGTGCAGACGGCAGCCCATTGGTCCAGGCCTGTGACTGACACCCAGCGCGCTCCGGTCAGGAGCAAGCGCTCGGCGCTGGCTCGCGGCCTGCGCTCTGGGCGCAGAGGTTTAGGGTCGCGGTGGGCGTCGGGAGCCGGCGGCGCACGCAGCTGGGGGCGGCAAGCTGGATCTAGCCAGCGGAAGGGGGGGCGTAGGACGTGCGGCGGGGACACCGGGGGATGGACGCGACCGGCCGGGCGTGGCGGGTGGACGTGCGGCCGCGCAGGTGTGCGTGCGGGGCTCGCCTCCTACTACAAGCCAGTCCAGGGGTCATCGGAGTTTCGTGCAGGGTGCTTGCTCCGCCCCTGACAAATACTTTTTTTTTTTTTTTGTCTGAAAAATTCTCAAGTTTCTCAAGTGAGGTTTTTGCTGCTGTTAACCTTGAGTTCATATTTTACTGCCTTTTCTTTTTTTGAGATAGTCTCATGTAGCCCAGGCTGGCCTCGCACTTGCTGTGTTGCTGAGGATGACCTGATTTCCTCCTGCTTTGCACTTTACCAAGTTCTGGGGTGACAGGCGGCTGCCACCATACTAGTGACTTCTTAAAGTCACTGTTTCTTATGTTAAGTGGATTGGGTGCCCAGCACATGCCCCCAGAGCACATCCATTTCAGCCAAATCTGCAGTGGACTTCAAGAAATACAGTAAACAACACAACAGACACAGGGCACAGGTACTGGCAGTTGAAAACTGATGGTCAGGATCGAGTTGCAGTTAAACAGACATCTTGTCCACTGTTGTGAGATCGCCCGGCCTTCTTGCCCAACCGTTCTGTTTGTATTTCATGTCTTAATGAAAGAGGTAGTGGGCGGCGGTAGTCGTCACAAGGCCAGATAAAGTTCTTTAAAAGCCATTTGCATGCTTAAAGGTCAGGCAGTGTCTTTCCTAAGAGAACTGGCTTCCAGGGTGCCAGGGTGGCCAGAACGGTTTAGTGAAGAGCTGTCACTGAGCCTGGAGGAGGATGGCAGGAGCTTTTGGATATTTTAGCTAGGTGTGGTGGCGCTTGCCTGTCATTCCGGCACTAGGGAAGTGGAGTAAGCCTGGGCCCCAAAGTAATACTGTGTGTCAGAAACAACAACAAAAAAATAAGTAACAAAGAATTCGGGTATTTTAAGACACTCTGCCACCCGACCCATATTTTGATAAGCAATATTTGATAACTTCTCTAAATGCTGGCTTTTACAAAGATATAGTCAATTGTGTCCTTAAATTTCACTCATACCATGTAATTCAGAATTTTAAATTTTTACCCATCTTTAACATACATTTTTAGCAATGAAAAGACTAAAGAAATACGTGTTCTGTGTTATTCCCAGAGAGTCCCGCTGGTGTTTTCAGGAGCCTTCTCTTGGGTTTTGGCATGCTTATGTATGTGTGTGTCTTCTGCCTGGTCCTTTCTGAGTTAGTTGTGCTCAGCATCTTCTTACTGCTTAAATGTCCGGTCAGTGTGGGGATGTGAAATACAAAGGGATTTTCATTTTCCTTGGATTCTTTATTAACAACAGAACTGAAAAGGGTTGAGCTCTGTGTGGTTCGTTACCCCAAAGTCTGACAGACCTGGGAAGGGGTTTGTCACGGGTCAGCCAGCTTCCTTTGTTTATTAAGTGGCTCTTACAGAACCTCCAGCCTATATATGATACCAGATGTTATTCTGGGAAATCTGCTAGATAGAAAGCATTGTACTTGGGCTAAGTCAGCTGCACTTTTAAAAGTTACTGAAAGCTGTTAGATAATGCCAGGTTTAATTATTGTCCTTGCCTCTTACTTTGTTTGCTTTTTAGAGCTTAGTACATAACCCTGGATTGAACAAAACAAGCCTTATTGATTCTTCCAAGTGATTTTTTTTCTGTTTTTTTTTTTCGATGAGCAAAACAATTTATTCAGATATCAAAAACTATCCTAATTGCTGATAAGCCCAAGCACTTTGCTGGCCGCAGTTCCACAACTGTGGAAAAACAGCAGCTGAAACACGTACAGATTATCTCTGGCTTGAGATTTTTATCTTTAGTTCAAGAATCACAGCAGAGGATTTGTTTGTCTATTTGTTTTTAATGTGTATGGGTTTTCCTGCATGTATGTATGTGCACCATGTGCATACCTATTGCCCGTGGGGCCAGAAGAGGGTACCAAATCCCCTGGAACTGGAGTACAGATGGTTGTCAGCCTCCATGTCATGCTGGGAATCCAACCCAGGTCCTCTGGAATCACAGATACTGCTCTTAACTGTTGAGCCATTTCTCCAGCCCCACAGCAGTTTTAATAGCAAATTATTGAAATTTCTTAAGGATTATTTTTAGGTGTGTGTGTGTGTATGTGTATACACACCTGTGTTGTGGTATGTCCACTTGAGTGCAGGTATCCATAGAGTCCAGAAGATGACTTTAGATCCTTGAGATCTGGAACATAAACAGATATGGGTATGGGTCCTGGGAATTGAACTCTGTTCCTCTGTAAGAGCAGTGCATGCTCTTAACAGCTGAGCCATCTCTCTAGCTCAAATTATTGATATGTTTGAAACAGTGAAACCATTTTCTGATTCTGTTGTTTACTACTGTATGGACTGTTGGAGGGCAAATACCCAAACTTCTTGCAGAGTTAAAAGGATGTTTCCAGTTGTTACTTTTATAATTAACAAAACTATCAAGTTTCTCACTATTTGAGTAAGACACCTAGGAGACTGCAGGAATGGCATAAGGAAGATCAGAGTGGTATCATAACTTTGTGTAATTGGAATTATAGTCTTTTCTTGCTGTCCACTCTGGGAAGGGGTTCAGGCTGTAGCACATAAGATGCCTTTGTCAGTTACTGGTGTGTAGTACCCACTGTACAGAAGAGTGCCAGGGACTGTTGCGTGGTTATCTGGGATCCCAGCATCTAGTACCCAAAACAGGCAGACTAAAAGGCTCTCAGAACCCCTAACTGTGTGCTAGTGACTTGTGAGGCCTTGAAAAGTTGGGAGAAAATGAGAAATAATGTTTCCTGTGATGTGTAAGAGGATTTACTTCTTGGTGAGACGCTTAGGGGCTGCAGGCTGCAGAGGTGTGATGATCAGAACCTGTGATGCCTTTCCCTAATAAGTCTCCACGTCTTTGTACAAACTAGCACAAAGGAACAGCTTCCCGCATGTAAACAGTCCTTAACAATAACTGCTTAGCTCTTTCTTTAAAGCTTTCTTGTTAGGAAGAGAACTGCCTCAGAGGTGGTTTCCTCTATGTATTTTTTGGATGAAATCTTTGCCTTGTTTCCTTTCCAAGCATTAGGGGAGTTTGTAGGAATTAGCAGAGGTGGCACATTAAGAGGACCTGAGACTGTAAATGAGTTAGGATCATGGCTAAGGTAACCTAGACCACATAATGAGTGAGGTCCAGGGCAGCCTAGGCTTGAAGTGAAAAACAGTAACAAAAGAAACGTCTCCCTATCTCCCAACCTGGTTTTTTTTTTAATGTCATACTCAGAAAATAAATCAAATGTTTTAAAATGTTTTTTTTTTCTGTTATCAACACTAGATTATTTAGTTTTTTTTTTTTTTTCAGACAGAGTCTCATTGTGCAGCCCAGGATGACCTTGATTGAACTTGTAGCAACCCTCCTGCCTCAGACACCCACTGGCCAAGGTTACAGGTGTGAGCCACCACACCTGTCTAATACGTTTCCTTGAAAGGAATGTATACCTAGCTTTCCCTGTGGCACTGCATGCTTCCACAGAGAACGCACACAGCTGGAGTCAGGAAGACGGCTCCCTCAGTAAAGTCATTGCAAGCATGAGGAGTTGAGTCTCCCGGAACCTATATAAAGCCAGGCACAATGGTCTACACTTGGAATCCTGGCATCGGGGAGGCAGAGATGGGTAGATCCCTGGGGCTCCTTGGCTAGCCACCCTCACCTAATTATGAGCTTCCAGGTCAAGGAGAGATCTTGTCTCAGAGAACAAGGAGGATGGCCTTGAGGAACTATATGAAAGTGACCTCTGGTCTCCATTATACACACACAGTCGCATAGATGCATATGTACACAGACTAGCTCTAAAAGACAGTTGTTGAGTTAAGGATAATCTAGCCTTTTAAGGCTCCTGTTACATATTGCCGGATGACCTTTCAGAATGTTCACTGACTCTGTCAGTGTAAAAATATCAGTAATACAGTCTTCTGGGTAATTGTCATTGGATAATAGTTAAAGTATGCTGTGTCTTTATTAAAAGTGAGATTTTAGGTAGTTGGAGAGAGGACTCAATGGTTAAGAGCATTGACTGCTCTTAAAGAGGACTCAGGTTTGATTCCTAGCACCACATAGTGACTCATAACTGTTAGCTCCAATTAAAGGGGCTCTGACACTCTCTTCTGGCCTTCACAGGCACCAGCCTTGCATATAGTACACAGACATCATGAAGGCCAAACACCCATACACATGAAATTGTAAAAGAATTTTTTTTTTGTTTTTGTTTTTCGAGACAGGGTTTCTCTGTGTAGCCCTGGCTGTCCTGGAACTCACACTGTAGATCAGGCTGGCCTCGAACTCAGAAATCCACCTGCCTCTGCCTCCCAAGTCCTGGGATTAAAGGCATGCACCACCACCGCCCAGCGTAAAAGAAATTTTTAAAATGAGATTCAAGGTATTCAAAAGAATGTACATACTAACATTGAAAGGCATTTCAGAGTTTTAGGTATCAGTACTTAGCACAGTGGCTCTCAGCCTTCCTAATGCTTGGACCCTTTAATATAGTTCCTCGTGTTATAAAACATGAGGACACCCAGCCATAAAATTATTTTGTTACTACTTCATAGTTGTAATTTTGCTACTGTCATGAATTTGATGTGCAGGGTATTTTATATGTGACTCCTAAAGGAGTCATGACCCACAGGTTGAGAACCAGTGGCTTAGAGGAATTTATATATGGTGCGATTCCATTTGTTTATTTAAAAAAATAATTTTTAAAGTCACCCTAATCCTCAGAGTGAGTTCCAGGACAGTCAGGGGTACACAGACCCTATCTTGAAAAACAAATATAAATATAAAAGAAGTTTTATGTACATTGCTGTTCTGCCTGAGTGTATGTCTGTGAAGGTGTCAGGTTTCCTGGAACTGGGATTACAGACAGCTTTAAGCTGGCATGTAGGTGCTGGGAATTGAATCCAGGTCCTTTGGAAGAGTGGCCAGTGCTCTTAACTGATGAGCCATTTCTCCAGTCCCGAAAAAATATTTCGTAAGGAAAAAAAAACTTGTAGAAATTTCTATGTGAAACCATTTAAGTGATTTCTTCTGGATGCAGGAATGGGAGCCAGATATGGTGTACCTTCCTATAATCCCAGCACTCAAGGTGTTAGCATTTGGGGTATATACTGGGTTTCATGAGACCATTTAAAGCAAATCACAAAGGTTGGGTTAAATAGGCCTATTGCATTTGGGTCCAGTCCCCCAATACCACAAACAAACAACCCCTCCCCCCCAGAACCTGGCACTAGAAATGGGAGAATTAATAGGTTTTTGTTTTTAAGATTTAAACAAAAATTATATGTTAAGTATTTTACTTGCATTGCATGTATGTGCACAGCATGTGTGCTTTGTGCCCAAGGAGTCCAGAAAGGGGGTATGGAATCCTCTGGAACTGGAATTATAGATGGCTGTGAGCCTCCTTGTAGGTGTTGAGAATTGAACCCAGGTCTTCTGCAAGAGCAGCCAATGCTCTTAACTGCTGAGCCCTCTCTCCAGCCTGAATCTTAGTTTTATATACTGACGTCTCTGAGCTTAAGGAACACCCTTGTGAAAGCCAGTGATTTTTGAAGACATACAGAATATACTTACCATAATGACTGACTTGTATGTGGCGTTTCTCTGCACTGGCTACTACAATTTTCTGTGTGCTTTATTCATACTATCCTAGTAACTCTGAAATAGATACAGCATTTATCCTTATTTACAGATAAGGAAACTGAGACACAGAGACTAAGGCGCCAGTCCAAGCATAAGCTGTTAGCATTAGCATGGGGTGTGGTTTCACTCTGCACTGTTAACTGTGGTGCTGGTGTATGCCAAGCAAAGACTTAGAATGGCAATGGGGGTATTGTGCTTCAGGCTGTTGAGGCCATGGCAGGGGTCGCTTTTAAACCTTTCTAGTGTGTCTTCTCAAGTTCCTAAGGTTAAAGGTAGTGACTGTATATGTTTAAAGCAGAAAATAGAGTTGGCATGGTGGCTTGGAAAATCCTTCAGAAAAGTGAGGAGTAGAAGCCCAGGCACTGTGGCCACCGCTTTCCTTTGATCAGGCACATGTTGATTGTCTGAGTAATCTGTCTGGAGCTCTGGGTCCTCAGTGCTCCTGCCAGAGCAGCCCTGGGCTTTGTTGGTTTTGTTTATTTTGCACAGTGGGCTGTCTACAAGAACCAATCCCATTGGTTTTAACAGATGCTTGAAATCCTAGAAGCAGTGGGAGTAGGGGAAAGATTGTTATTCTCTCTGTCCCTCCTTCTAGAATATTTTACAGAGATCTAAATTTAGATGTGCTCTGGCACATTTGTATCCACTCCACAGGCACTCTGAATATTTAAACTCTCTGTGCTAAAGATCTCTCGTAGAGATACAGGTTTTATGTGCTCATCCTTCTGTGTTCTGTGTTCTCATCCATGCCCATCCTCACGTAGGTGTAGAATGAGGCCAGGTGCTGTTGTATGCCTGTGTTGTTTGGAATTAATTGGTGATTTCAAGACTGCTGGCAAGGGGAAGAGGGCGGGGAGCTCCCTTTGATGGAGAGGACAAACTAACTCTTTAGTGACAGATACAAACTCGTTAGTATGTAAGTGAGCGTCTGCTGTTTGCCCTCAGTTTATGTTACTGTGGTTAGTTCTGGCAGCTCTGGGAAGTAGGTCCTCTGTCACAGCTCTGTATACTGGGGACACTGAGTGAGGATAGGAGGGGTAAAAGGCTGGATTGCCTTTCCAGCCAGATGAACTTCTCCTTCCCTCTAGGTCTGGTGTCATTGACTCATTTGGGTGCATTTTAGGGTTTGAGGCAGTCTTTGATGATTCTGACTGATCTGCTAAGGATTTAGAGATTTGGCCCTGCAGACCTGCTAGGTTACATTTTGGAGGTTGTTGGGTTTGGTTTGGAGGGAAATTTTGCTTGTTTTTCCATTTTATTTTGACTTAGGGCTTTGCTCTGTAGCCCAGGCCAGCCTTGATCTCACTCTTGATCATCATCCTGTCTCAGACCTCTGAGTGCAAGTGTGAGCATTGTACCTGGCTGTAGATCACACTTCCTAAAGCAAAGTATTTTACAGAGAGGACGTAGAGCATGTCTGTTTTGTGAAGTTGATTAGTTGGCTACTGTTACTGATTCCTATTAAAATTTTAAGAACCTTAATTAATTCAACTTATTGGGCCAATAAGAACTTTCAAAACGTTCAGATTATAAAGGCCCATCCCCTTTTCCTGTGGTCCCACCCCCTTCAACTATTTGTCCCAAACTTTTCTGCCTGTAGCCCATCTGCAGTGGCTTCTCTCTCCTCCATACCCTCAGGACTTAATGAAAACCCTAGAAAGTAGAGATCCTGGGAGTGAAAAAGGGAAGGAACAACTTGACAAGGTATGTTTGGTATAGAAGAGAAAGACTTGAAAGCCTGTAGCACAAAGGAGAGAGACATCTGTGGAATGGGGTCTGTGCTCCCCACCCTCAACTTTCAATTTTATCTGGCTTTATTAAGGACCAGTGGCATTATTGCATGCTCTGGGTTTGGGAACTCATTCAGGTTTCTACTCCAGGAGCTTTTTCAGTTTGTGTTAGTAGACAGTTGTTGTACTGTTCAGATGAACTGTATGATGTTGCTAAGTTATACGTTGACTTAATTTAGTGCAAGTGTACCTAAAGAGCTGAGGAATCCTGTGGCACACATGGCAAGTGCCTTTGTGTGTAACTGAAATGGTAAGGCAACACCCTGTCTAGTAAAGGAAGAGGTACGTAAGTTTTGAAGAACAGCTTGAGTTTTCACCAAAGCTTTGATTGAGTACAAATTAAGGTTTAACCAAAAAGGGAAATGGCTGGAGAGCACATCTTAAGTTTCAGATTTCTGCCTTCTGAGTGCTTTAATGCATGAGTCCCTGTGGGAGCATAACAATATGGACTCTGACTTTCTTCATGTTTATTTTCTTCAGAATACTTTGGCTTCTGTTTGAGGCGAGTCAGAATTCTTATCTGAACTCAGCATATGGACATGTGCGTGCACAGGAGGGATTTTGGCCCTGCTGTGGCTATGACTTATTATCTGACCCGTCCAACAGGTTCCTGGGTGGAGCTACCCATGAACAGCAGCAATGGCAATGATAATGGAAATGGGAAGAATGGGGGGCTGGAGCACGTTCCTTCCTCGTCTTCCATCCACAATGGAGACATGGAGAAGATCCTTCTGGATGCACAGCATGAGTCGGGACAGAGCAGCTCAAGAGGCAGTTCTCACTGTGACAGGTAAGTAAAACTCTGGGTGGTAAGTCAGTAATTGAGTGGTTATAAAGCTAACTAACTCTCATAAGGGGCAAGCTCATTTGTTTAAATATTCATTAGCAGAATAGGCCTCCAGATTTATTGTAGCATACATGTTTAAACTGGACAGCTAGGTCAGGCATGATTGTGCACACCTTTAATTTCAGTACTTGGGAGGTAGAGGCAGTGAGTTCGAGGTCAACTTGAGTTTCAGGCCAGTCAGGGCTGTATGGTGGGATCTTCTCTCAAGAAAATTAAATTAAAAACTGAACAGCTAGTGGATAGGCACCTGAGTTGCCCACCCCCATTGCCATTTTTATTCTCAGATTGAATTATTTTTAGATGTTTATCAGTTTGAGTCGAGTAGTAGGCCAGCAAGATGGTTAAGGACTTGATGTAAGCTGGGTAACCTGTGTTTCATCCTGGGTCCCATATTGTGGAAGGAGAGAACTGACTTCCTCAAATTGTCCTCTGGCTTCCACATACACACCCACATGTGTATCTACACACACAAACTACATGCAATTTAAAGTGAAAATAAAAGTTAGTGTCATTAATGTTATCTCAGAGTTCAGCTGAGTTTATCCCATTTTCCTTTGTTTTTGAGCCCATATTATGACTCATGGTAACAAGTCTCTCCCTTTCTAGGCAGCAGAAGCAGGGACCATGTGGCCTTTTTTCACCCTCCACAGTAACAGACACTCAGTAAATGCTCAGCTTACAGGACCTGCAAGTTGATGGAGGTTGCAGTCGTGTTTGTGGCTCTCTGTGTGGCTTTCAGGAAGCAGTATACTGAAGGCATGCATTTTCTTAGAGGAAGTGTTATTTATTTACATCTCTGTATGGCTCTTTGCCTCTGAAAACCTAATACAGAAAGATGTAGGAAAGGAAAACAAGTGGTTAACTAATTTTCAGTTTGAGCTTTTTTTTTTCCTTTCGGTTTCTGAGAAACTAGGTATTAAATAACATTAACAATTCTAAGCTCATATACTTAAGACATACCTATAATCTATCATTGGAGAGGCTGAGCAGGAATATTTCCACAAGGTGAAGGCCTTCCTGGACTACAGAACAATCCATAGTAATAACCTGTCTCCAAAAATGGGGAGAAATTGTTAGTGCAGTCCCTGGCACAACGTTAGCTTCATAGGTTGATGCTGGTTCACTTGCAGCTGGCTGATTATTACCACGTTGAAGATGCACATACACAGAAGGAAGATTGGGGGATGTCTAAAAAGCAGCAGGGCAGGAAGGACTGGAGGAAGACACCGTGCATATTTGTTGTAACTGTTTTGTGTTTAGTTTATAGTATATGGTTAATTTTTGTCTGAGAAAAAGAGAAAGCAGTTAAATTACACCTTACCTTCCTATATGCTTTATGACCCAGTTCTGTCTCCAAGGCATCTGGAAGACAGGTTGGTTGGCTGTTTGGCACGGTGAGCACCTTGCCAGCCTTGTGTCATCTCTGCCTTGTTGCTGAGTCTCCTGTCACAAGCAGAAGTGAGCACATGTTTCTTTCTGAGAAGTTGCCATCGATTCTGGAGGGTGTAGCACCAGTCTGTTTTTCAGTAGTTTTGTTGGTTTGTTTTTGAGACAAGATCTCTATCTACATAGCTCTGGCTGTTCTAGAATGAAATATGTAGACCAGACTGGCCTTGAACTCACAGAGATCTGCCTGTCTCTGCCTCCTTAGTGCTGAATGAAGTTTTGTATCCAGGGACTTTGTCTTAGTTAGGGTTTTACTGCTGTGAACAGACATCATGACCAAGGCAACTCTTACAAGGACAACATTTAATCGGGGCTGGCTTACAGGATCAGAGTTTCAGTCCATTATCATCAAGGAGGAAACATGGCAGTACCCAGGCACGCTGAGAGTTCAACGTCTTGTTCCAAAAGCAAGCAGGAGCAGACTGGCTAGGCAGCTAGGATGAAGGGGTGTTTGTTGTTGTTGTTGTTGTTGTTGTTTTGGATTTATTTATTTATTTATTATATGTGAGTATGCTGGAGCTGTCTTCAGACACACCAGAAAGGGGCATCAAATCCCATTACAGATGGTTGTGAGCCACCATGTGGTTGCTGGGAATTGAACTCAGGACTTCTGGAAGAGCAGTCAGTGCTCTTAACTACTGAGCCATCTCTCCAATCTCTAGGATGAAGGTCTTAAAGCCCACACCCACAGTGACACACCTACTCCAACAGGGCCACACCGTCTAATAGTGCCACTCCCTGGGCCAAGCATATCCACACCATCAGACTTGCTGAAGGATTTCTAGAGCGTTCTCTTTGGATTCCTGAAGCTTTCTGTCCTCTGTAGACTATTTTTGTATATATGCAAACATGAGACTGATCATTGGTACCATGTGTCCATGAGCCTATTCTTCACAGGGTACAAAAGAGTCACTTGCTTGTTGGACATCCTGTTTAGCTTATGATGGCAGTGATGTGTGAAATGGACTGAGTTCATTTTCCCAGGGTCAGCTTAGTTCAGGTTCCTGGATGTGACGAGGAATGGCAAAGGGGCTTCCTGGCCAGCTAGTCCTGCTGAGACAGTGGGTCTAGGTCCAGTTAGAGACACTACCCTACAAAATAAGATGGAGAACAAAGAGGAAAATAAGTAGTGAGAGCCACTTTCAGCATCTACAGATACATATACTAGAACCTGCACACATGTACACCAAACACACATAGCACAACACTGCTATAAAATAGGCACCCTCAAGACTGAGTCATCTGATTTGTAATTGGTTATAAGGAAGTGTTTCTCATGGGACCTACGATGTAGGTGGAAGGGTTCTTCGAATTGTTGGACATTAGCCCCAGCCAACATACACTTTCTCTTCTTTTCCTTTTCATTTCTATCTCATCTTCCCTACTTTTCCATTGGTGCCGAGGGGTGAACCCAATACCTCTAGCGTGCTGGACACGAGCTGCTCTGGTGAGCTGCATCTCTAGCCCTCTTGTGACTCTATGGTTTTGGAACTGCACTGCTGAGTTGCACAGGCTGGGTTTAAACTTGCTCTGTAGCCTAGGGAAGCGATGAACTTGAAAATTCCCTGCCCCAGAGTCTAGAATAGCTGGGATTTCAGGGCTCTTCCACTAGGCCTAGCCTGTTTTTCAGATGTTTTGTTTAAAAGTTATTCCATGCCAGATTGGTAGTACACATCTTTAATCCCACCACTCCAGAGACAGAGGCAGGTAGATCTCTGAGTCTTAGGACAGCTACTGCAGTGGTGGTTAGAAGATGTCTCAGCATTCCTTGCTTTCTGCTCTCTCTTGTTGTCTCAGGGCAGTTTCTAAAAGCCCAGTATAGACTCATCCTTAGAGCTCTTCCTTGGCTGTCAGTGCAGGAGAAGTATATTGCAGTGGTTTAGCAGGCTCCCCAGTTGAGTCTGAGAGGAGCTGGGCCCCAGGCTTGATGGCATTCTGAATCTTCAGGTGTAACCAGCTTACCAGTGAAGAAGGAAGTATTTCTCTGGCAAAGACTGGTGTCAGCAGTACAGCACTTCTGTGGGTGTATGGCAAAGTCCTCATAAGTAACAGATCACTTGGACTGTCAGGTCTGGTCAAGTTGTATTCAGCCGGCTTGATGCTGTGGTGTTATCATCACAAAGACGGTAAATGTGTATGATGCTGTTTGATGTGAACCTTTTCTATTTCCATTTAAGACTCCTTTAAACAAGTGTAATTGATTGTATATACTTGCCATATTTGTGCACATGTGTGCCATAGTGTATATATATGTGCAGGTCAGGGGCATTTTGGATTTGGTTTTCTCCTTATACCTTTAATAGGTTCTAGGAATCAAGCTCAGGTTCTTAGGCAAGCACCTCCACCCATGAAGCCATCTCACCTAGGCATACATATTCTTTAAAGATTTATTTTATTTATTTATTTATTTTATATATGTGAGTACACTGTCACTGTCTTCAGACACACCAGAAGAGGGCATCAGATCCCTTTACAGATGGTTGTGAGCCACCATGTGGTTGCTGGGATTTGAACTCAGGACCTCTGGAAGAGCAGTCAGTGCTCTTAACCCCTGAGCCATCTCTCCAGCCCAGGCATACATATTCTTTCTTAATGAAAAATACCTATTTCCTATAATTAAATATTGACTTGGTTTTGGATTTTTTGTTTGTTTTATGTTTGTTTGTTTGTTTGTTTGTGATGTTTTCTCTCTGGAAGGTTTGCTGTCCTGGAACACCTGTGTAGACCATGTTAGCCTCAAGTGCACAGATTCCACCTGCCTCTCAAGTACTGGGATTAAAGGTGTGTGTCACCATGCCCAGCTCTATAACCAAAAATATTATGGAGAGCAGATGTTTACAGTTTTACTCTTTAATTTCTGGCCTAACAAGGGCATCTATATTCTCACCTACTTTTGCATTCAATCTGTGGTGATATCACATATTGTTTTAAGGTTTCTGTGATGTGAGGAACATGGCCAAAAGAACCTTGAGGAAAGGGTTGATTTAAGCTTACAGTTTACAGTCCATCATCCAGGGAACTCATAGCAGAAAGTCAAGGCGTGGACCAAAGCAGAGGCCGTGAGGGGGCTGCTTACTGGCTTGCTCCTCCAGGCTTCTTCAGCCTGCTTTCTTAGATCACCCAGGACCAGTATCCTGGGATAGCACTGCTCCCAGTGAGCTGGACCCTCCCACATCATTTATTTATTTATTTATTTATTTATTTATTTATTTATTTTGGTTTTTCGAGACAGGGTTTCTCTGTGTGGCTCTGGCTGTCCTGGAACTCACTCTGTAGACCAGGCTGACCTCGAACTCAGAAATCCGCCTGCCTCTGCCTCCCAGGTGCTGGGATCAAAGGTGTGTGCCACCACTGCCCGGCCCACATCAATTATTAATCAAGAAAATTCACTACAGGCTTGTCCACAGGCCAGTCTGATGGGGGCTTTTCCTTAATTGAGATTTTCTCTTAGAGAATGACTGCAGCTGTGTCAAGTTGACATAAAACTGGCCAACACATGTATTGTGTAGCCTTTAAAAGCTGTAGTGTATATCACAAGAGGGTGGCAGTGAAAGGGCACGTCCTGACAGGACCATAAAAGCAGTTCCTGCATCACAGAAGCCGCCGAAGAGACTGAGAAATGCTGAGGAGTTGCGTGTGCACAAAAGTGTTGAAAGTGTTGTGAGGTAATTCCATCAGAGAACCCACATAAGCACTCTTAATGCCACACAGAAAGTTTGCATTGCTGGCTGGTGGCAGTGCAGAGAGCTAGCCTTGATCCTGCAGCCCTGATCATCATAATTCTTTGACTTGTATGCACAAAACCCACATCCTGGTTGTCACACTTCAGTTAGCGAGCAGTAAAACTATAGAAGCCAAAAAAGCAGAGTTAATACATTTAGAGGCTTTTCTTAGATCCTGGATTATGAGTGAGGTTTTTGATAGGTTTTGATAGGTTTCTGTTTGGGCAGGTGTTGGGACCTCTATGCTGGGTTTTAAAGTCAGAATGTGCTAAGGTCTGGGGGCTTGTTACAAAAGGACTCAGGCTGTTTGGATTGGTCAGTGATACAAAAAAGTGTGATGCTTCAACATTAGGCTGCCATATATTCTCTGGCTTTGTCGCTATAAAGGCATTCATTACCACTGACAGAGTCCAGGCATTCTGCATGATTACTCCATTACATTAACCACTTACTCTCACATCCGATTTGCTTACTTGGTGTTAGATAGACTTTCAGATTTGTTCCTCTTTCCAAACTATCTTGCTGTAGTTTTCAGTTTTCAGTTTTCCAATGAATTCTTAAGATACGACATCAAGAATTAAAACTGCTGGGAAGGCTAGCTGGATGGCTCAGTTGATAAAAGAGATTGCTGCCAAGCCTAATGACTTTTTGAGTTCTATTTCCAGGAGCCCTCATGGTGGCAGGGGACAATAGAGTCCCACTTGTTGTCCTCTGACTTTCACATGTGTGCCAGGACACATGTGCAGCCACACATAGAGACATCCATGTCCAGAAAAATAAAGTGTAAAAAACAAACAAAAACTAATGACTAAGTTTTTTCTCTTAGCCCTTCGCCACAAGAAGATGGGCAGATCATGTTTGATGTTGAGATGCACACCAGCAGGGACCACAGCTCTCAGGTAGGTGTGTGTTTTATTTTGATTTGGAAAATACATAAGAGTCTCTCAAGTTTGTTGGCTGAAAACTGGGCTGGGATCCAAACCTGATTGCATTCTGAAGTGTCAGGCCGAGTTGTTTGCCATTGTTGTGTTTACTGCACAGTGCAGAGGGAAAACATCTCTGTGAGCTCATGGAGCGATCCCACTGACTGTTGGGCTGCTCACAGTTGTCCAAGGCTGGCCCTGCTGCATTCTTACCAGCAAGCATAAAGACAGTAAGTGAGGACTTCTTGTTCTTTGTCATTTTCTCTTGTGTTGAAGTGTTTGAAAGATACTGGTAGCTATCTGAGTGAGGCCTGCAGACACCTTGTTTGCGTTGTTCTCTACTGTGTGAGCATAGGCATCTGTGCTGGAACTGTGTACCTGGTACTGGTTCTAGTCTTCTGTCAGACTACACAGATTCCCCACACCTCATTGCTGTCCCTTTTGCTGATGCTCGAAAATCCATGTGCTCACCACTGGTTTATGTAAGCTCACTTCAGCTGCTCACATGCTGGAACTTGGAACACCAGTTTACTCTGTGATGCACTTTATAAAGAAGATTGGTGGTAATTGGCTGAAATGTTTAAATCTCTGGCTAGTGTGAGTTTAGCCACATGCAGTATGGTGTAACTGGTGTGGAAAAAGCACATGAAGTTCTTGGCAAAACGCATCCCCGGGACAGAAGAGCAGAGAGCTGATGTTCTGCTCTATATGTTCTTCAGTCTGTTTGCTTTTGTTTAGACATTTTCCAAAGAGTATCCAAAGTGCTCAGTTGGGAAGCTCCATAAACATACTCTGGAGTCAGATCACCAGCAGTCTTGTGGTCCTGCTCCATGAGGAGCCACGTCAGGTTGTACAGAGCCCAAAGTAAGGACACCAGTGATCAGGCACATGTGGTTGCTGAATTTAACTGAGATTTTAGGGCTGAATGCCTGACCTAGCTGTCCAGTTTAAACATGTATGCTACAATAATTCTGGAGGCCTATTCTGCTAATGAATATTTAAACAAATTAAAAAGAAACTTGTGAAATTCCAGAGAGCTTATGAGATTCTGACAGATTGTCAGTGAGATTGACTAAAAGCAGGGGACAAACCAGCAGGGACAACATTGGTTTTGGCATAAGTAGCATAATGCCTATAAAGACAATATTGGGACTGTGGGGTAAGAATTTTAAAACGAGGGAGATATATTAGTAGATGCTTTATATTGCTTTTTTTTTTTTTTGGTTTTTCGAGACAGGGTTTCTCTGAGTAGCCCTGGCTGTCCTGGAACTCACTCTGTAGACCAGGCTAGCCTCGAACTCTCGAACTCAGAAATCCGCCTGCCTCTGCCTCCCAAGTGCTGGGATTAAAGGCGTGCGCCACCACCGCCCGGCATATTGCTTTTTTAAAATTGAAGAAACAATTGAAAAATTAGTCACCAGGGATTAGGAAAATGATATTTCATGAGTAAGAAAGTTTGATGTTAGTTAAGAACAGTTGACTGAGGCTGTCTCTTCTTTATGTGCACCTGTGAGGAATAGGTGAACTATCATGCTCCAGCTTTGACCAGAGAAGTGAGGAAAAATACCAGGTGCTTACCAGTCTGTACTGGGTGCTAAGTTTATGTAAACAAAACAAACCCAAAAACTTCACACTTTAGCACTGTAGTGTTCTTAGTCCAATTAGGGGAAATGGGGAGAGAGACACTTTGTCCTCATATGGTTATCGCCTAAGATGACAATGCAAGTCAATGTTGGAGTCAGGACTGAAAGTAAATCCAAACCCATGATCTATCTGTCCTTCCACTGAAACTAACCTCTGAAGGGAGTTAGTCCCAGAAGAGCTTGCTGGGTATACAAATAAACTGACAGGACTGCAGAGCCCTGGGGTGGGGATCCCTAAGCTGGCACAGCTAGGGCAGAATGTTGCTCTAGGATGATGGTACTCATAAGGCTCCATTGTGTAGCAAGAAACATATTCGTAGTCTCATGCAGACACTCTGTTGTTATTTAGAATGGGTCCAGTGCAGAGTTGAGATCTTTGGAAATAGCTTCTTTTTTACTTTGTAAGACTATGATTTATTTGTATATGGATACAGACATGCAATTTACTATCCCTGTTTAGAGACTTTAAAAGAACTGGAGGTGGGCTAGAAAGGGAAGAGTTAAATGAGTGTGGGATAAGGACTGAGCCTCTCCCTACCTCCTTGGACTGTGAGGTGGTCAAGATACCTGACTAGAAGCATGTGTCCAGGGAAGAGCAAAGCATGAGTTCTATGTGGTTAGATGAGGTACCCTTGTACCATAATCTTTAGTCACTGGAAGATGATTCAAAATCTCAAAATGGACCAAGCATAGTATTAAGACCTATATTGCAGTTTCTGGACCCAGGAGGCTGAGAATCATGAGATATGAAGGGCAGCCTAGGCTCTAAAGAATGTTTGAGGCCAGCCTGGAGGCTGTTTCACAGTCCCCTCTCCAAAACCCTGGGATTGACAAATTTCAGACAATAAAGGTTAGAAATGTGTCTATAGACTAAAACAACTAGATGAATTCAAAGGTAACTTTGCTTTATTCCCCTGGAGGAAATCTCATCGTATTGGAAATTTTAGAGCACAAATCTCACAGTTTGTACTATGAAAAGAATAAAATACTAACTGGTTAAAAAATACCTAAGCTAAACCAGAAAGCAGTTAGGAGTTCTGGAAGACCAATAGGAGGAACTAAGAATGAACTGCTATATGTGACTGGATTGTAGTTATTGAGGCAAAGCTCTTGCCTAACATGTGGGAGGCCCTGGGTTTAAGTATCCAGCATTGATGAAACCAAACTAAAAGAACAGGGGGACCAAGAAGACAGCTTGACCACCTGAGTGCCATCTCCACATTGAAGCCCAGCACCCGCATGGAGGAAGGAGTAACTTAGCTTCTGTAGGTTGACCTGTGGCTTCTGCACAAATAAAAAATAAAAACAAAAGAATGACCTATAGTAGGTTGAAGACTCAGAAATGGTGTACACACATGCTGCTCAGTGCTTGCAGCATGACTACTGATTGGTTTTTGCCTGAGGATGATTTCAGGGTTACTCTACAGAGCCAGCTCATGATTCTGAGTAAGCTCAGTGCCTGCTGGGAAAAGCTCCGTCTTAAATACTGCATTGTGTTAGTCAGTGGAATTTGCCAACTTCAGCAGAACTAGATAAGGACCGTGCTGACAAAGGGATGCAAACATCCCCTGAGCTTTTGGCCTGGATTTGGTAGTAAAGGGGTGTTATGTGTAGAGCCAGGCTCAGGCTCATAGACAGCTGAGTCACGAGGAGCTGGGGCTGTGGGGAAAGCATCCTGTGAACAGGCCAGGTGGTTTCAACTATCAAAATCAGAGTGTTCCATAGTTTTGAGAGTCCGATTTGGAGTCACAGCCTCACGTTTCCTTTAAAACTGAATAACTACAACCAATGTGTCATTTTTAAGAATTTGTCATCCCCTTGGTTTCTGTTAAAAGAGTTTTCCAGACATGGTAGCTGAAGTCTATAATCCCAGCACTTGGGAGATCAAAGGTGAGCCTGGCCCCATAGTGAATTCCAGGTCAGCCTAGGCTACAGAATGAGGCACTGTCTCAGAGAACAAAAACAAGAAAAAGCTTGTGGAAATGTAAGGGTTTTTTTCTGGCCTGAAAGCTTAGCTTAGGTTATCACTAGCAATAAAAAGAATATTTTTCATTTATTTGTTGCAATACATGTTAACTTCTGGCTCACTTCAAAATATTTTATTCCAGAAAAACTTATTTTCAAAATCTTGAAAAATGTTCATATTAAAAAATAATCTTTCAGAGAGTAAGAAAGGGTCCTTGGAGCAGTTTGCCTGGGTTAGAAAACAGTGGTCTCTCTCTTTAGTTGTGAGGCCCTCAGCAAGTTACACAAGCCCTGCCCTCAATCTGTAGAGTGGAGTGCAGCAGTTTCTGTTTGGAATCGACTAAGGGGAAGCTTAGTGAGTGACATCAGCTTCAGTAAATGCTGGTCTGGGGGTCAGCAGCGTCATGATTTACCACATCCCTGTGCCAACTTTCTCACAGATTTATTTTGTTTCCATCTCCTTTTTGGTATGTTTATTTTAAATGCAGTTGAAAATATATACAGCGTAGGAAGTACAGTGTTGAGAAGGACACAGTGAAACACTACGTTGCCTCCTCGGGTTCAGCAGCACCAACTCCACAGCATCGCCACATCCCTGCAAAGGGCTTTTCCAGGGTTATGGTCTGTGCTTCAGTTTTAGAAAACAGATTGTTTCCTCCATTAAAAACACCAATACACAACTTTGTATTTAGGTTGTTTTTGTATTGAAAAGAATTGTTCTTTTCTGTGTTTCTCTTGTTCCTTTTTTCTCACTGTCTAATTTTTTTTTTTTTTTTTTTTTTTTTTTAGTCAGAAGAAGAAGTTGTAGAAGGAGAAAAAGAAATTGAGGCCTTTAAGAAAAGTGCAGACTGGGTATCAGACTGGTCCAGTAGACCTGAAAACATCCCACCCAAGTAAGTTACTGCATGTGTCTTGGCGGTGTGCTTTCTGTGCTCACATGGAGGGGCTGGCTCAGACCTAGTATCTGCAGCACTTGTGGTCTAATTCCAGCCTCTGAACTTCTTCCCCAGAGAGTTCCATTTCAGACATCCTAAACGTGCTGCGTCTCTAAGCATGAGGAAGAGTGGAGCCATGAAGAAAGGAGGCATTTTCTCTGCAGAGTTCCTAAAGGTCTTCATCCCGTCTCTCTTCCTTTCGCACGTGTTGGCTTTGGGGCTGGGGTAAGTACCCTGATGGAGCCATTTGTGTGACTTAATGTAATGGGCAGCAAGGCAATCAAAAGGAAGGAGCCATGATTATCTTTTATGAGTTATTTAAAATTTGGCCAATTGTGAGTAATTTATAAATTATTAAATGTAAATATAGGAATAAATGAAAAATGATCCCCCTCCCTTCCCCAGATGGTAAAACACATCATTGTGGAGGATGATTCTGGAATACACTGGTAGGCGGCTATGGGTACCATCTTTGTCTTTTAAACTTTGTGACATTTATTCAAAAGTCAGCCTAGTATTTCTCTTAATTCATTAACTTGTGGCATGTCTTTTCAATTAATAGCTTTCCCCCTTGATTTTAATATTTAAGAAAATACTCTTCTGGAATATTTTATTTTATAAGCATTAGCTTAATTAATATTAGTCTCAAGACCTACCTGCTGTGTTCTGAGCATGCCCAGAGAGTCTTTTTCTGTGCCTGATGCATGATGGAAAGTGGATCATTCCTGATCTTGCTGTGAGTGGGTCAGCATAGCAGAGGGAAGTGCCTGCTCTGGAGCATGGGCAGGTGTACAGCTTCCACTGTCTCTCCTGTAGAGGGTCTACTCCTAAAGACAGGGCCAGTATTCACAGACAACTGAGTGAGAGCCGCTTGTGGAGAAAGCAGGGTGGGAGAGTGTGGAGCTTGGGAGGACTCTTAATACCTGCCAACTATTCAGTTCATTTACCTCAAAAGCTTGGTTTGCAGTATTTCTTGCTTTCATGAATCTTTCAGCTGTTTTTTGTTACTTTGATTAAATTTAACTCTTGCCACAGAAAATGTTTTAAAGGGGACTCCAAAATTGCTGTTATATCCTTGGGGATTGTGCTGCCTATTTTTCTTGGCCTTTTTTGCTCTTGCTGTTGAAAGGGTCATGTTCTTGTCTGGTATTCGGAAGTCATGTTAGGTCCCATCTTAGAAACACTGGCTCTGTGACCTTCTCTCTAGATTTGAAATAGCATTTTATCCAAAAAGAAACAGTTGGAGGCTGAGGAGTACTCTGCTGTGGACTTTGAAGGGGTCTCATTTTCTCAGCTTGACTTATCTTAGCATCACTGCCTTTGTGCCTTCCAGTCCTGACTTAAAGAGGAAACAGAATCTATAAAGCCATTTGCTCTGAGCTAGTCAGTGCTATAGCTCAGTTGGAGCATGCTGTTTTAACAGGTAGAGGAAGACAGTGAATGGTCGGGGAGTCCAGGAAGCATGCACTGGGGCTTTCAGAGCTGGCCCAGCTTGTCAGCAGAGATCACCCTATGGGCCAGGCTGCTGTAATTGTGGAAATAGGTAGAACATGATACACTCTGCTTCCTTACAGCATCTATATTGGAAAACGACTGAGCACACCTTCTGCCAGCACCTACTGAGGGAGACGAAAAGCCCCTGGAAATTCGTGTGGCCTGTGAAGTGGTGTATCGTAGTTTGAATTTGAGACCTATTGTAAGCATGATCCCGACCTACAACCCTATTTTTACATACCCAATTCCAGTAACTCTCAAATCCAGTATTTTACTCAAACTCTGTTGGGGCATTTTACTAACTTTGTTCCCTTTTTGGCCTGTAAGACACTTTAGAGATTCCTAACAGAGTTTACTGTTGTTTAGAAATTTGCAAGGGCTTTTTTTCAGCAATGCCACCAGCAGATTATAATCTTGTCAACAGTGCATCGTCTCCTCTTAGTATCACCGGTCACCTGCATCATTCATGCTAGAAGCTGTATTCTAGCCATGCAATTACATCTCTTTCTAAATGAGGTCAGGTTTGCAAATAATACTATAAAGGCTTTGTTTAGTCTTTGTTTTGTTTTCCAAGACAAAAACAAGCTTCCCTAAGCTTGAATTTATAGTTACAAAATGAAAACAAAACCAAAAAAAAAAAAAAACCAATACACAAGGAAAAAAAAATATCCTGGGCAATAAAAATGACTTTAAACCAGCTTTGGAGCCGCTCTTTTCCTAAGCCTCCTGTGCCGCCTTCAGTTTGTAGGAGGCAGCCTGAATGAGTGACAGACAGGAAATAGAAGAGTAGAACATACTGGCAGATTTTCACATTAGCATATTGCAGTGCTGTCTTTTCTATGATAGAGAATCTTTATTTGTAAGGAGTGTCTCAGGCCTAGATACACATGAAACTTACTTTTGAGATTTTTGTGCATTTGATATTTTCATGTGTTACCTGCATGTGAATTTCTCAATGACTTTCTTTTTTTTCTAGTTTCTTTTTTTTTCTAAGAAGAGACTTGGAATGAGTCTGATTCAGGTGTTACTAGAGGCTTCTTGTTTTAGGAAGCTTTGCTCACACTCTGGAGCCTTTACTCTCTGAAGAATAACTTCAGAGTTATTCCAAGTACTTGTGTAACTTGGAAAAGTAGACTTGGGTTGTAGGAACAGTTGATAAAGTTCTGGAAAGATGCCATTCATTCTCTTTGGTTCCTTACTTCCTGTTACTGGCTGCAGTCTTCCCAAGGTGTCCCTAGTCTCTCCCAGGCCCCTGTGACTTTCTCATGTAGGTGTCTTCTCAGTTCTGTCAAATTCCTGATGCTCTGCAATACTCAGAAAATTCTTTGAATGGCAGACTTTCTTTTGTCTGTTTGTAAAATGTGAAGCTTTAGGACCAAATTGTTAGACAGCATCAGGATTGGAAATTATCTCAAGTAGATTTTGTTAGATTTCAGAGCACAGCATCACTCTGAAGGAGTCTGTGTCTTATATATAAATAGTTACTGTTTATGATGTACACTTTGCTATAGTTTTAGAACCATTGTGAATTTCAGAGCTAGCAACCTACATGGTGCACCAGGTTGACTTGAATAAATTTGGCAAGCAGGTTTGCCAGCGTGCAGAAACTAACTCCCCTCTTAGGTAAAGGGTTAGAAAATCGATGTCATACGGAAATGGAAAGGAAGGTAGATAAGACATTTCTGTCATTTTTCAAGAACATGGCTGTTTGTCTTTAAGAAAGTTAATAATATCCAAAATAGTTTTGTGTTATTTTCTTTCTGGCATTTAATGTCTACATGATTTGTGGGCAACTGCTGCCCTTTTCCTTTTTTGCTTTTAAACCTGGTGACGCTTGATCTGCCTTCTCACCTATTACTTCAAGTGTTTATACTTGAGTTTCTTAGGAAGAAAGTCAATCTGATGGCCTGTTGTTTTGTTGTAGTTGTTGTTTTGAAAAGCCGGAATCAAATTGTGAAGGCTGCTGAGGCTAAACTCCGGCACAGTTTGCAGCGCTGACGTGTGAGCTGGCAGAGCAGCGTCACTCTCCGTGCTCGCTCTCACAGGCAGACATCGCCTTCTCTCTAAGTTCAGTAGCAGTTTCATCGGCAGTGCCATTGAACTGTGGGAACAGTGGTGATTTTTTTCAACACTAAAACTAAATTGAGTTTTGCCATTTTTCGAAAGTATCAGTAAAATCATGGAATATGTCACAGAACAACTGTCCATAAGTGAGCATGTACAGTATTGATTTGCAGCTCCAGCATACGGGATGTTCATACTCCTACACAGTGAAACAGATTGTCCTATCACAAAGCAGGAGTCAACAAAGTGGAAATTTAAGATAAGGTTTAAAAAGCTTTATTCCAGTTTACAATTTGGGATGGAAAGCAGGCTTCATTTTAAGTTTATTGAAAACTGGCTCATGTTTGTAAGTCAAGAGGAAAGCGGCACAGAGAACAGCACAGTGAGTTACTCCATTGCAGTAAAGAGTGAAATGGAAACTCGGCCTGTGAGACGAATCTCACAGTGAAGCAGCTGTTGGAACTCCTGGTATCAGTGGAGCTAGAGTGACATGCATCCTTCGTCTGTCTGTCAGCACTGGCGTCATTCCGTACAGTTTACAGAACACGTGTAACTTGTAGCTATAAACACTTTGTGCCATTAAAGCTCTCACAAACCTGCCTGTCTGTGTATCATTTTATTTTACTCTTGTTGCCTGAAAAGCCTCTCTGTGTCTACACGCAACCCTTCCCTTGGAGCGCTCACCAAGACTGGAGGATCTGACTGTTCCAGCTGGTGCTGCCCATGCCTTTCTTTTGGGAGTAGTAGTAAGCGAAATGATGTTGTTTAATCATTTGGGGTTTGTAATAGTCTTGGGGGTTGGCTGGCCTGACATTAAACTTGGTTACTGTGGAACAATGCATGTAGCTCACTAGGAGAGTGTTTGCCTGCCTTGTAAAGTCCTGCCTGGCCTCCACCCACAGCACTCCCTCATCCCCACATAAGTAGGGACTATGATTAAAATGTAACCTGATACGTTGGTGGTGGTGATACATTGGTGAGATGGTTGAGTTGCACAAATTCAGTGTACAGTGCAGTGTAGAGAATCAGACTGTGTCCGTCAGTATCCCTTCAAGTGACCTGCCCTGCCTTCTAAGAGAAATCTGCCTGCTAGGGACGCCCTTTATTGAGCACTGTGACAGGTGTTAATTAGTATCCGTGATGGGTGGCTTCACAGCTGAAGGAACTGGGGCCAGACAGGGTTGATTAATCCAAAGTCAGCAATGGCGACAGGAAAGGACTCAGGACCACACTTCCAAACTAGTCTCCAGTGATCCACTTGTCAGCAGCTTCTCCACTTACAGAGCATGCTGTCGGCTGGGGACCAAGCTCTTACCCCATGGAGCCTGTGGGCCCACTTTGTATTCAAACTGTCAAACTCCTATCATGTCATTCACAGAGTTGGAATGCCAACTCAAAGCAGAAGCAGTTTGCTGGCAGCAGCCTCTTAAGAGCAGTCATTGTGAGTGGGTTTTCCTAGAGGAACCGTGAAGTCTCATTAATGTCTAGGAGGATTACACACAACAAAATATGACTAGTAATGCAGAGTCTAAAAAGTGCTCAGCCAGCAGCCCTGGTGGCATTCGGGTCACACGGCAGTGTCTGTGTGCCTTGTTCTATTGCCTTCCAGGAAGCAGTACTGGCCACACTGGTACAAACAGGATTAGAGCTTCAAGGTGTTCACTGGGTCGTCATTAGGTTCAGCATTATGAATACAGTTGGGTGGGGGAACCCAAACATTTCAGCTGTTTCTCCAGGTTGATCTTCTATCTCCTTTGGTAAGTCCACACTGTTCCTGCCAGAAGAGACAGCCTTTAGGGGACAAAAGTCAGGGTAAGAAGTTGGAGGAAATGACTACTAGCTTCTCCTACACTGCCACTAGCTGGTAACAGTGTTAACTGTTAATGAGCTGGTTCCAATACAAGTTAGGAGAGGTCAGAGGAAGTGCAGAAACCAAGAGGAAGCACTCCCCACAAGCACGTATGATCCCGGAGGCTGAGACAGGGCATGTGTGATTTCTGTCACTCCATATATCCTTTTGGGTCAAGGTCCCCCCTTCCGGGGCCCCCCCCCCAACCATTTGCCTAGGCCAGAAGTCAGCAAGTCCCCAGAGATCCCCGTCTGTCTGCCTTTAGACATGGTGTCTGTGATTTGAACTCCGGTGCTCATGGCTATACAAACTTATTACCATTGAGCCATTTCTTTAGCCTCTTCCCATTCTTTAGTCACCACAGTACTCCAAAATCATTTTAACATTTGTAAAACTGAAACAAGTCAGCAACTCAAACAGCAATTTTAAAAGTCAAATATCCTACAAAGATAACACTACTTTGATACTAACATGGTAAAGAATGGTGGTAGATTATTGAAAGTATTTTCCACAGAGCAGAGAACTTTGTATGTGTAGTAAGATCACTGCAGTTTGTAACACACAGTAGTCTCGGAGTCTGACAAAGTGCTTCAGGCAGTTGGCATGCTTCAGGCAGTTAGTAGTGATGTGCTAGTGCAGAGGACATATGTTGTGTATTTGGAACGAAGGCTTGGGTGAAGTTGCACAAAACAATTTAGGAGCACTTCCCAAAACATCTTCACTTCCTTGTGTGATGCTTTTGAATTAAGTTTTGGTCATTGTGAGTTCAGAAATGTTAGGGTTTATCAGATCTGTAACAGCCTCCACGTTTCAGTTTATACGTCTACCTGTGGCTAAGTCTTCCCGTCTGTACACAGCCTCACTGCGATTTATGTTCATTTGGTTCAGCCAGTCTGTTAGTTTCAGCTAAACTTAATTTGCATTACTCCAGTGGTTAAGAATGTTGAACAGTTGTTGAGATATTTACTGGTCACCTATATTTCTTTGTAGAGAGAATCTCTTATAAACATCTTTCATTAAAAAAGCTGACGGCCAATGAGCTGAGGCAGGAAATAGGAGGTATGGGACACTTGCAGGAAGAGAGGGGATTCTGGGGAATAGTAACAGATAAAAAAGAGACACAGGGAGTGCCATGAGAGACGAGGTAGGAGACAGACCAAGATGATGGGCATTAACCAGGAAGGAGACACTGAGGAGCCTAAGGAAAAAGGCCAGGACTAAAGCAGAGTTCACTAACCACATGGTAGCCATAGAATAGTTTAATGAGTTAACTAAGTTATAAGCTAGTCAAGAAATGAGCCAAAGCTTATGGCCTAGGCATTTAATAATAACCAATTAGTCTTAGAGTCATTGATGGGAACTAAGGGGCCAGAAGAAAAATCAAGAGTTACAAATTAATTTCACATTTTTTTCCCTTGAAAACTGTCCAGTCAACTCATTTGTTGGGTGGGTGGTGGTATTCATGTTTTGGAGTACTTAATATATTCTAGACCTCAACTCCTGTTTTGCTGTAGGGTGGCATAGGGTTTCTCTCATTCTGTTAGCCATCTCTCTCTTCTGATCATTTCCTTTGCTGTGCAGAAGCTCTTTAATTTTATGCAGTGCCACTTTTTAGTTCTTGAGCTCTCTTCTTGTGTTCTTGGAGTCTTTTTTTGGCAAGTTCTTGCCCGTGCTTTATGTTGCTTCCTAAGCATCTCACATCTCACAGGAAGGTCTTTGGCCTGACAATATTACTGTATTAGAGTAATATTTGTGCACTGAGAGAGGTACAGATTTTAGTCTCATTACTTCACACGTGAATACCCAGCCTTCCTAGCATCATTTATTGAGTCTCCCCTCATCCCCGTTTGTTTTTGACACTTTGCTAAAGATTAGGTGGCTGAAGGTAGGTGGGTTTATGTGTTTGTTGAGACTTTAGGCTGTGGTCTGTTTTGAAACGTTCTGTGGGCTGCTTAGAGAATGTGTATCCTATATCTGTTGGATGGAACTTCTTGTGGATGTTAAGTCCATGTGGTCTATGGTGTAATTTAACTGAGGTCTTTGTTGACTTTTACTTTGGATGGCCTATACAGTGGCGAGCTTGGGATTTTGAAATAGCACAGTGACTTCTGGACTGATGGTGACCTTTTATGCCTGCTTGTGTATATTTTATGGAATTCGGAGCCTCAGCACGTGGTGTGCATATATTTATAATTGCTATATCTTGGTAGATTTTTCTTCTGATTAATTTTGGTTTGAAGTCTGCATAATAAGGGGTCAGAAGAGCTGTGCACATTCATTTTGGGGTTTCATTTGATAAGTTGACTTCCATCCTATGACTAGTAAAGGTTTGTTTGTTTGTTTGTTTGTTTTTGTTTTTGATTTTTGAGACTCCAGCAGGTGGATCTTGCTTTTCAATCTAATCAGCATCTACATCTCTTGTCAAGTTGAACCATTCACATTTAAGGTTATTGTTGAGACATGTTTACCAATTGCTTTGATTTTCTTATTTGTTTTTCTGGTTGGTTGGGCTTGGTTTTTTGGTTCCCTCCCTCTCCCCCTCCCCCTCCCCCCTTGCTATCCCCGCCCTCCTCTCCCCCTCCCCTCCTCCTCCCCCTCCCCTCCCTCTGCCTTCTCACTTTCCTTTCCCCTTCTCCCCTGTTAATATTATGTGTTTGCTGGTTCAGCATGTTAGACATGATGTATTCCTAACCTAGCTCTCCTTTGCTCTTTGTTCATTTTAAGAAACAGATTCTTTTCTTGTCTATCTTGCTCCTCTGTATGTGTTGTCCCCTTTAAGTATCTTCTGAAGAGTGGTCCTAGTGGCCATGAACTGCCATAGTTTGTATTTACCTTGACCATGTCCTTATCTTCTTGTCAGTTAAAAGGTGGCTGCCCTCTCAGCACAGCAAGCAGAGTGTCATTCTCATGGAGTTAGAAGGAATAGCTTGGCTGGGTATTACATGGGTATTATTACACCCTTGATTGAGAGTAACTTCTAAGGCTTGAACATTGTTCCATACTTTCCTGGTTTTTATAGTTGCTAATTAGAAATCTGATGTTATGTTTTCTTTTGTCAGTGACTTGATGTTTTACTCTTGTAACTTAATATTGTTGGAGCAGGTTTCTGGACCCTTGAAAATTGGAGATTGCCGGGCGGTGGTGGCGCACGCCTTTAATCCCAGCACTTGGGAGGCAGAGGCAGGTGGATTTCTGAGTTCGAGGCCAGCCTGGTCTACAGAGTGAGTTCCAGGACAGCCAGGGCTACACAGAGAAACCCTGTCTCGAAAAACCAAAAAAAAAAAAAAAAAAAAGAAAATTGGAGATTGCCACTTAGTTGCTCAGGGAGCAGAAGGAAGTTGAGCTCACCTGTTCTTACCTTTCCCGTTGTTTATAGTGGTGCTGAGCCTTTAGTGCTGGCATCTGATGGTTGTCAGAGCTGTCTTTACTTTAGTAGCTTCCCTTCTCCATAACATCCTGTCAGCAACTCTCCAGATCCTACCTTTTGGGGTTCCTAAGGTCACTGCTAAAGGGTTCTTTCAGGGTTTTAGAGCTAGGGAAGTAGTCAGAATGTTGTGATGTGTACAAGTGTAAGACCTGACTTCTATATCCAAACCTCTTAAATGGTGGTCTTCCTGCTGGAGGGGTCAGCTGCAGTTTACAGGTTCTCAGGCTCCACAGGTTGATCCTGCTGGCCTAGGGCTCAGGCCCTCAGACCCAGGTTATTCTCAGTTGATGGTGTCTGCTCCAAGCCACTAAGATCAGGGCCAC